AATCACACCCAACAGTGAGGATCTGAAAAGCCAGGCAGCACTGGGGGCATCATAAAGAGAAACGCTCTGCAGGCCCTGACCAACCCCAGGGCTAGATGCACAGACAAGCACCTCCAAGTGGATGATCAGACCTTGTCCACTTCTCTCATTCAAACACTGATACTTTTTATTAAGCAGGTGAGGTTGTAAATGAGAAGCCTGGATCTCTTGTGCATCCTCATTAGATGCCCGGGCACCTGGAGGGCTCCAATGGTGGTGAGCTTTTAAAAAAAAGTCATTTGAAAGCAACCATGGTTGCAGTTGCAGCTTGGAGGAAGCCACCTGCTTAAGTGCAACATGAAGAGTATGTCATAGCATAAGGTGTGTGACATGCTGCATTTCTTCTTGCCCAGAATCCTACAGAGCTGTCCATTTTTTTCCCTTGTTGCCCTGTATCAGCACAGAACATCCTCTCTAGCTCAGAAAGAAGGGAGAATGAACACATGTATATCCACAGTCCAAGGAGAGTCACCTTTTGCTGGAGCTTGGATCTCACACGATACCCTGATCCCAAATACGAGAACAGGGCTAGCTCTGGAAGGACAGAGCCATCTATGAGCTAGGAATCAAGAGGCAATTAATAGATTGCAGGCTGGTGATTTGCCTTTTGCATCTGAATGATCTTGCCAAAGCCACCTCTTCCCACATCGTAGTCTGTCCGGTATTCATCTCGCACCTGGGGCACAGAACAACACACACATATTAATAGCTAGCACTGCCTGTCTCCTCCTAGACTTCAAAATCTTCATCCCCCTCCTTGTTCAGCTGGTGGGGAACTGAAGTTCAGATTAGAAGCACTTCTACTTATCTGAGATCTCTTCAAATCCACCAAAAAGGTGAAATGGTGAAAATGACAAAAAGGATATATCCGATTGTTGAAATTTTTTCAGGTAAGAAGACCCCAAAATATTTACATTCAGCTTTTCAGTACACCTTTCTGAATTGCCAAGCTTGGCCTTCAGAACACTTTATCTCATCTAAACCTCATCTTTGCCCTTGGGGAAACTGCTGTGTTATGAGACTGGCCTGGCATCCACTCTCTTTCCCGCTACTCAAATTCTGGATCATTTCAAGGGTACTACCTTGGATTAGGGAACATTCTGCTTGCATTGCAGGAAGTTTGGAGTCCTAGACAGAAATAGCCTTAAGTTCTATTTCCAGCCTTTAACACCAGATATGAATTACCGAAACAACCTGGGAGTGAGTAAACTTCAATATCATGTCTTTACAGTCTGCACATTGTTCTCTATGAGACAAAACCAGCAAGTAAGTAGACTCCTACAGGATCAAATTCAGGGATGAACTGGCATTGCCTTTACCTGTCCTCCAGTCTTTCCTCTCCCATACTGTCGCCCCTCCTTAAACCCTGCATCCCAGTCCGTGCGGATGATGCGGTCGTCCAGCCGTGTGCCGTTGATAAACCGCATGGCGTGCTCGGCATCTGCTCTCGTGTAGTACCTGAGGCACTCTGTAAGGACAACTAAGTGTGCTGTTTTGTTGGGTACAGGGGAAAAAAACCAGGGAAGTATTGTATTTGACAAGCAGAACTCCCCCCATTGCCTTCCAGCCTTTTCTACTTTTCCTTATGGGATCAAAAACTGCGCTCATATAAATCCAAGCTAAGACCAGCTAATGCTCAGAAAGAATTCTGTACTTTAATGTTAGCACCTGCACAGACAAGACAATGGAACAAAGACATGAAAGCCTTGCTAAGGGCAAGAAATCAGTAATATGCCTTTTTGTACTATGTAAAACTTGACTGAAATACAACAAAAGGAGCAGGCTTCACAGGAGAGCTTTGCACAGACAGCTCCTGGCACAACCTGTTTAGGCATGAAAATGCCCCCATGGCTTATCCTGCTACTTCCTTCAGGTGTGCAGTTGAGATGAGAAAGCAAACATGTGCGCTGGATAAGGAAGACGTCAGGTTGATGACTGTAACAGTTATCATTTTGGCCCTAAATTCATTAAAGAAATTAATGAATTAAAGGGGCTCACAGCCACCTCCAGAAAGTACAGCTCTAGTGGCACTTGTCAGGTATGGAACCACTATACAATCGATCTCAGAGTGCAGAGAGGAACGTGCAAGGATGGACGGGATGTGCCTGGCAGGAAGCACTTGGCTATCACCTTTCCAGCAGTGCAGAGGAACTACAGGTGCCAACCACACACGTACTGACAAAAAGGAACCAGAAAGGATACTCTACAAAGCAGAAACCACAAGGGGTCTTCTTGATCTTGTCCAGACCCATGACAATCCTCTTGACATCTCCGCACTTGGAGAAGAGCTCCTGGATCTGCTCCTCGGTAGTGTAGAAGGACAGGTTGCCGACATACAGCGTGGAGGAAATCTTCAGGGACTTCTCCTGCAGCTGCCTGCTACCCTGCGGGCACAGAGGCGCACGCCGCGGGCTCAACGCGCTCGCCGTCCCGTTCCCACCGCTCCATGCCCTCCCGCTGCCCGGCTCCTCGCACGGCCTTGTCCCGGCCTCAGCCCTCCCCGCCCCGGCCGGGCCCCGCCACCCGCCGCGCCGGGCGCACCCGGAAGTGCTGGTCTCGGTACTGGCTGATCTCGCAGTACGAGTCACTGTTGAGCCCGCTGAGCGTGGTGTGCAGCAGCCCCGACATCGCTTGCTCCCGCCCGCCCGGGTCCCGCTGCCGGGCCCCGCTGCCGGGATCCTTCCAGAAGCACCGCGCACCGGACACGGCGAGCGGCGCGCGAGAGACGCCACCACGCCACGGGATTGGCCAGGATGGCTGTCACTCGGAGAGGGAGGCGGGGCGAGGCCGCCGGGAGGCCAATCGGTGACGCGAGAGCCCGGCGGGAGCGCTGGGTCTGGGCGCGCGCAGGGTGCGCGGCGCGCACGCGCATTGCGGGGGCGCTGCTGCCGCGGTTCCGCGCCCGTCTCGTTGCTCCCCCCTGAGGGGCCATGGCGGGGCAGCGGCTGGCGGCCGTGCAAGGTGCCGTGGGCCGCGGGCTCGCCCTTCCCGATGAGCCCCGCCATCGGCGGCTGATGTTGGGCTGTTTTTCACGCCCCGCTGTCCTCCTGTCTTACAGCGCTGGTGCGGGGGCTGCTGAGGGAAGAGGCGCCGTCGCGCATTGTCGCCCTTACCGAGGAGCTATTCCAGGCGGCGGAGAGCCTCTCTGAAGAGGATAGGAAGGTGGCGGAGGGAGAGCCCCCCGCTCCCAGCCCGTCTGGAGAAACGGGGGGTGCTTCACACCCCACAGCCCTGGCCCAGGTTGGTGCTGCAGCTCCGTAAGCGCCAGCTGCTGCTGCTTCGTACCCTTTGCGGTGAAGCTAAACCTGTAGCACTACTGAAATGTAAAGAAAAGAGTTAATTTCTTCGTCGTTCGCCCCAATAGCGTGAAAGTCCAAAATAAAGTGGGAAATTTTTTTTTTAAGTCAATGAGAAATGATGATCCTGAATGTAAAAAAAAAGGGTGTGTGTCATTGACTCTGCTCTCGTGAGACCCCACCTGGATACTGTGTCAAGGTCTGGGGCCAGCAACATCGGAAGGATGTTGAGGTGCTGGAGGTGAAGGTGATTGAAGGGCTGGAGCACTTCTGTTGGTAAAGACAGACTGAGTTCAGCCAGAGAAGGCTCTGGGCAGACCTTCAGCTTCTAAAGGGGTTCCAAGAGAGCTTCAAAGAGAAGGACTTTGGACAAGGGCTTGAAGTGACAGGAAAAGGGGAAATGGCTTTACTTTGAAAGAAGTTGATTTAGATTAGGTATTAGTAAAATACTGTAATGGTGGGGAGGCCCTGGCACAGGTTGTCCAGAGAAGCTGTGGCTGCCCCATCTATGGAAGTATCCAAGGCCAGGCTGGACAGGGCTTGGAGCAACCTAGATCTAGTGAAAGGTGTCCCTGCCCGTGGCAGGGGGATGGAACTGGGTGGTCTTCAAGGTCGCTTCCAACCCAAGCTATTCTATGATAATAATGGGAAAAGTTACTGGTTACTGATGATGTTAAGGTTTTTATTATTTCAAAGAACTAGGAGTATCTAGTTGTAATTTCAAGTAAAAATGCAAGCAGAGAGCACTGATGCATTAAGAGTTTGGTACTGGATCAGAGGAGGTCCTTCTCACCCTGTCTATGAATTCCAATAATGGCAGCAGATAACCCGAGGAAGAAGAAAACAAGCAAGCATGTACTTTTAATTGCCTGGTAAACAATATTCCAGTACACAATATTATATTGGAGGTACTAATTTTCAGTCCCTGTAAAAGTTTATCAGGCGGTTGTTTATAATGTTTGGTTTTTCCTTCTGTTTATTTCTCCTAGAGGAGTACTTAGAAAGTAGTAAACATCTACTTTAAAAGTCCTGTTTCAAAGAGAAATCTGAAATAAGGAAAAAAGACTAGCTGAGATGCTGTCCAACTTCTTCCTCAAATTTATATTTTCAAGAGACATCTAATAAGTAGCAATTATCAGCTAAGGAACACTGATTTTAGAAGTCCTAAATTTGCAACAGGGAACAAGATTGGTTAGCAAGTGTTGTAACAGAAAGTGTCATTAGTACAGTGTGTAAAGAAATAGTAGAGCATAAAAGTGGTATCCTTCAGGTCTTCCTGAATCAATTGAGCTAAATTATTTTTGAAGAAAGGAGAAATCATTAATTTGTAATCTGGCCACTTCAATAAGAGGGACTATGAACTCTCTCCTAGATAGGTAAGGGTGTATTTTTAGGTTAGATCTGTCATGAAAAGTAGAATAAAGTGATAGAAAATGCAGCCCCTCAGGGTGGGTTGCTAAAGCAGCTTATTGCCTTTATGTTGTGCTGTATCTTTTTAACAAGAGTATATAGTCAGTAGCCTTTTTTCTTCTTTTGCTAATATCAGAAGTTTCCCAGTGTAGCTATTTAAAGTAATTAAGCTAGTGTTCTTTTTGATGTGCAAAAGAGGTGAAGCCTTATTACACATGGTTCTCAAATGTGATAAGATTCTTAGAGTTCTTTTCCAACCCCTTCAGATTTTAGGTGAAGAAATGCTACATGGTCCATTCAGCATGCCTGTTTTCAGGTCACTGTCCAACATGTCCCTGTGGGATCCTGTGACAGTTTTATGGAAAACTCACACCTTTGACTCCGGGGTAAAAGGAAGTTGTGTAAACATGTGGAGAGGCCATTTCTTTGAAATACATGGAAGATGCTTCTTTTTCCAGTAGTAAATATCAATGGGATGCACATCCAGGACAAAATTAAATGGAGCGGAATTCTTCTCTTCAGGTTGAAGAGAGTGCAATCAGCTTGTGGAACTGGACTGTGACCAAACACACGGGTGCTGTTATCAATGATGAGCAAAGAGCTAAGTGTACGTATGTTCTGTACCTTCCTAAATGTGTTCTGTGTGCTGTAGCATGGAAATCAAACTCTGCCTCTCTGCTTACAGGCACATAAGTATTGCTGTAGATTTGTTTGAGTCTGCAGACATGGGCTAGAAAGAGAGAAATATAGCAGTGGACTTGGATAAACAGTTCAAGAAGAAGCATCCTGATGTAATACTTATCTTCTTGTGACACAGAATCAGTGTAGGCATTCTTATCGCTGCCCTTTCCATGCCAGGGCACCACTAAAGAGGTGATGTGACCAAAGGAAGCTGTAATTTGCCTTCTGATACTGTGGTTCAAGTATAAAAATGTATGGAAATAACATAGGTGTAAATTTTAGACTGCTGGTCACTTAATTTTTATCAAGTGAGATTGTTTTTTTAATGTAACTATGTCATCTATGTTTACATATAGAAGCATTCTAAGTCCTCACTGACCTGCTTTAGCCAGGTGCACAGCTGGTGGGTTCTCTTGGGCCAGGAGCAGCACTAGAGGAAAGCAGAAGTGAGCTTTTGGTATTTTCCCTCAGTGTGTTCTTTCTGAGGTTCTGTGGGATTGCATTATCAGGCCTGCATTCTTGTTTTGAGGGATTAAAGTCAAAATGATATATAATCTGCATCTTATAAATTATACCAGGTAAAGGGTAAGTTGACACAAAATAGAGTGTGATGTTCTCAGATCACAGCTGAAGGGCCAGGGAGAGGCTGTTTTAAATACATTAAGTAGCATCTTTTCCATCTCTGATGTCTAAGGAAGGCCTGAAAATATTTTTGCTTTTTACTTTGGAACTGTATAAAGATTATTAAACTTCATTTCCTTGTTTTGCTGAAGGCTATTCTGAGGCTTTTAAGACATGTTACTGTAAGCACCTGCAATGTAATTAAGTCTGTGAATACCATGTATTTAACTTAAACTTTCTCTAAATTGTTTAATAGGTATTTTAATGAGAATATATTTTTTTTCTTTACTGCCTGAAAATCTTGGCTAAAATTCAGATTGCTTTGACTCCTGAAGCTTTCAGATTTTTCTGTCTTGTGATTTAAAACGCCAAATAGTCTTTCAGAAATAGTGGGGCTTGACTTTCTGTAAAAAAAAAAAAAAAAAAAAAGAAGTAGAGAAAAGGAAACTTTTGAATATGTGAACTGTTTTCCTGCAGTGCGGTTTGTTGCTTGCAGACTGATTTGCCTTTGTGAAGGCAGTGATTCTCCGGAGGGAACTATTCGAAGACAGATTTTGGTAAGGCTAATTATGGGTGAGTAATGAAATACGGTTGATTCCCGAGGGAAGTCTTCAAATCTTATTACATTTGCTTTGGAAAGGGAGTGAAGTATATGTCTAGTTCTGGAAAGATAGCTGGTGTTTTGGTAGGAGTATTGCTGACTCTATGTGCTCATCACTTAAGAAAAGATAAGATAGATGATCCCATTTTTTCCCTTTTAAGAAAACAAAGTACATGCTGAAGTGGGACCTGTATCTTACAGGGATACCTTGCTGACCATTGGAGTTAGGAATGTTTGGACATTGTGGTGTGGTTGGCATCACAGGGTAAAATATGTTATGAGCAGGACATTCATTTATTTCACTATCTTATAATATTGTCTAGTAGGCCATCATAAGTCTTATGCTACATCTGAGTGTTCAGCGTTTCGTTCAGAAGTGAGAGTTGCTGGTCAGAAACTGCAGAGCTGAAATGCCTTTGTCCTGTGTTAGATATGTGTGACAATGAGATGAGATCTTATGTTGCCTTTCTTGAAAGTGACTGCATTTTCACAAATGACTTACCATTTCCTCCTTCAGATGTCTATGAAAACTGGGAAAGGATGGATAGATATTGGAAAAGCTGGTCTTGCAGATGGATTTCTAGAGAATGCCATGAGTGTAAGTTTTTTCTCAGTTTTGATTTCCTACATACACGCCTATTTGTAAGTTCCATGGGTGATGCCTGCACTTTGTTTTCCAGAGTATAGAAAAGTTGTATGCGAAGTTACGGAATGGGAGCGAGGGTGAAGCAGATATTCAAGTGCACAGAGCTGATGTGGAGAAGAGCCTTTTCAAAGTACTCTCTTACCAAGCTGAATCAGTATGTGTTCTCAGTTTTCCTTATAAGTCACTAGAGGTATAGAGGGAAACTCTGACCCAGTTATTAGATACCTGAATGCTTGGCATTGAGGACTTGCTGAGGGATAGATTTCCTTCACTTAGATGTGAGATAGCAGATCTCATGTTTGTATTCAATGTTGCAATCATTTAATGATTTTTAATTTCCCTCATTTATCGCAGTCATTCTTTCAGTGGTGTTTATATCTTCTAGTTCAGATTTGTTGCTTTATGATTTGGCTGTCATGGCTGTTTGTAAAATAAACAGCTGCCTGTATGAATCATAAATGGGTCAGTTCCAACAGTGTCCGGTGCTGGACTGGAGAACAAGGCAAATAACTGTAATTTAAAATATGTAATTTAGAAATTCTAAGTTTTGAGAGGAAGTATTTTTCCTGACTGAAGTGTCTGAGAACTCTATCAATCCTATAGAATATAACAAGCACAGGAACAAATACAAAGAATGTAGTTTCCTACATTTGTTGATCACACCACTGACCTCAGTATCTAGAAGGGAAGTGCTATCTCCAGAATTCTCAGGAGCTACCCTAAACAGGACAAAGCGATGGCCCATATTTTTAATTCGATCATGTAGACAAAAGGAGAGGAAATAAAAATTTTGCTGAGCTGTTGTATCATTTAACATCTGAATGATCTTGTCCCATGTCTCTGCACACTTCCTAAGGACTGCAGTGATTTTCTGGATCTCTTGATCCTCTGGCAGTATGGAGAAATAGACAGAATTATTATAGCACTGTAAGGACAGATACCTAATCCCAAATCTAGCTTTACTGCATGTGAAAAACACAAGTCCTATTTTAAAGAACGAGGTTTATAGTGAATTTTAAAGACCAGTTGCACACTAACGGTTGGTTGGCATGCTCTGTTGCTTTCTCAGGCAGTTGCTCAAGGGGATTTTCAGAAAGCAGTGATGTGCGTGCAGCGCTGCAAAGATATGTTGATGAAATTGCCAAAAGAAGTAAGTGAAATATTCCCTTCTTTATCATTCCAAACTTTGAGAACCTATTTTCCTCTCTATATGTAAAGGGATGACATATGCCATATAAAATTTTGAAAAGTACTCTGAACTGAAGATCTCTTCTGCGGGTGGTTGCCTCTTTGAGATTTTGTGCTAAAATTTTTGCATGGAAACAGCAGAGTTTTCTTCAAAGTGCATTTTTTTATTGCTGCTCTTTGATTAGAATTTGAAATAGAATGATAAACTCTTCCTAAACAATGAGAAGGCAGATCAGCAAGCAAGGCAAAAATATTTTTAAATTGAATATACGACCTACTCTCTACAGAACCAGCTGCATTTTACATCTTGATCTTGTATGTTGCATCTTGTACCCATGTGAACATTTGTCTGGGGACAGATGGGACAAGAGAATAGCTGAGTTACAAAGTTTTTGATATGCAAGTCTATCACTACCATCAGTACTAATCTTCATCCTCATGAAACTGTGGAGCTATGAATGGAGGCTTCCCATTGCACTAAACTGTGTTTTTTGTCGTTCTTGTCTCACAGAGAAAACAAACTATCATGTGCAGATTAGTTTTTTGTTTGCAAAGATAGAAGTCTATTATTGTTATATCAGAATAAACTTCCTGACATTTATTTTCATTTACTTACATGATCCCAATATTTAGGAAATATTCTGTTCCTGTCTCTCTGGTACAGATAATAAAATTCAAAGGGGCAGATGCAAATTCTTAAAGAAAAAAATGGGATTTATGGTTGGAGTTCATTTGTGTTTTTAACCAATTAAACTCCAACTGATTTTACATTGCTTTTTGTCATCTGTAGGCCTTGTTCAAGTGCATCTGTTGCAGGGGTCTAGCTTTAATTTGAATCATAAAAGCAGAACTTCTTACTGTTGAAAATGTTCACTGGGATCTTTGCATTCCTGTTCCTCATTTAATTCTAAATTAATTTAATTCCTTTTGCTTGAACTCCTTCATTAAATAATATTAAACTTCTTGAGATGAAAGCACTTCACAAGCCAGGAGCACTGATGCAGACAAGGTAAAGGTTTCTGATCATGACAGAGTGATACAATTTACTTCTGATTTAAAGAGTGGTATTTAAAAAATGAGGAAAATGGAAAGAGCTAGTGATTGCTGAGTGAATCCAAAATTTTTGGACTGCTGGGTTGCTCTCAGTCCTAAACTTTTCCAGGCTCCCATTGTACCAGAGAGTCCCTGGAGAATATCACAGGGAGATTATTGTGTTGTATGATACCAGAGATCAGCTGGAGAGGATTGTGGTCACCAATAGTCTATGTACCAATGCTCAGTACAGGAAACTTTCTCTCCTGGAAAGGAAACATTCACAAATGAACCAGTGAAAAATAAGATTTCACATCTGAGAGTCATCTCCTTTGGGTTCGTGCATATACCTAGTCTGTGCTTTTGCCTCTGGATTGCAAAAAAAACAAAACAAAAAAACCCAAAATGTTGTGCTACACTTCTCGTTTTTTGTCTGAGAATTTGAAATCTACAGTCCCTTGCAAAAAGCATCGTTTATATTTGGGAAAAAAAAAAAAGATACTGCAGAGGCAAAATGGATACAAATATTGGCAGCCTGCTAGCATATAAAATGACTTTTTTGTCTCTTCTTTGGATGACACATGACAGCTGCAAATCATTTCAAAGGAAAGGCAAGTTGTTATGAACAGATGTTGTCAGGGCTGACTGATAAAGCTCTGAATAACCAAGCATTGAAAAGCAGTTTTCTTCTAAAGCTTGTAATCCCTTTTTCACCCCAAAAAGAAACGCTGAAAGAAGCCTACCATAAAACATGTAGAGTCCTCTTCACTTAATTATGTAAAACTTTTTTGTTATTTAAAAAAAAAGAGGTTATAGTTTTACAGTTTTTCCTCTCAAATTTTAATTTTTATTGTTTCATTTACACAGTTCTAGTGCTTTCAGTGTGATTTATTGAGGAACTCTGTGTTCCTCATGTGTTTCAAAAATCCTTCTGTTTTGTGTTTCCTGGACTGGTTAATGATACTTCATTTTCCCACCCAATTAATGGTTCCGTTTTAGTCATCTTCAGTATCCCCTTGCAAAAGGCCAGAAGTGGTAACAATGATATATCTTGAAAGTAAATTGCATTTTGAAGAACCTGAGACTGGAGTGCCGTAAAGCTAATGATGTTTTTCAAGAACATTATTGAAGCAGGAGTCTTTTATTGCAGACCTGTTACCTGTCAATCCTCTGTTACAATTTCGGAGTGGAAACCTATGAATGGAAGAGGTATGAACAGAGCTCCTTCTGGCTCAGGTAATGTGCAAAAATCAAGTAAACAAGCCCCTGCTTTTGAGATGTAAAAACGTGTGTGAAGGAGAAGGGGGAGCAAGGAGAGGCCTCATTAAAAATGTGAGAATAAAAGATTTTAGCTGAACCAAATTATCTGAGCAGATACTTTGTCATGGTTGTACACTATTGCCTAAAATCCGTGTCTGTTTTCCCACATAGATTTTCATGCCATTAGAATGAAAGCCATCTTCCAATGGTTCTTGCCAATTCTCTCCCTAGTGTTTCCTCTGAACAGATTAGTTTTCTGAAGAGTCCTTGACTGATAAAAGGCCTCTTTATCAGTCCCTGACTGATAAAAGGCACAAACATAAGGTGAAAAAGGAATGGGTAGAGATGGTTTGGGTAGGATCTAAACAACTATTGTGGTATTACTAGGGGTGGGGAAATATAGGCTTTCAGGAAGAGTATCTTCATGCCATGGTCACAGCCTCAGTGCAGAAAGTTTGTATTTATGTCTTCTTGTTCTTTTAAACACTTAGAAGAAAATGAAGGGCTACAGATCAAATTCAAAATCATTATGGTCATATATGTTGCCAAACAGGATTTGTAGGAATGCTCAGATTTAGTTACAGCCTGTCTTTGGAGATTATTTTATATTTTATTCTTGTGGAAAATTAAATACCGGCTCCTGATGACAAAATTTGAGGAGGAAATAAAGCTTTGCAAAGTGCACGTAATAATGTGGAGAAAGAGTGTGGCTCCATCTAGTGGGTTAAAATTTCCCTGATCTGAGAATAGATTAGAAAACAAGAGCCCAGGTACTGTTTTTCTTTCAAACAGTTCTTCATTCACAGCATTTGTAATCAAATCTGGTTCTGTGGAATTATCGCTGTGTTTTCTCCTGGGTGGTTCTTTGTTCTACCACTTAACTTTTAGAAGAAGAATGGGGAATCATGAGTTACAGGTTCTGTATTTGGTATTGATATGCTATGGTCTGGAGACCTGCCATGTTTAGATTTTGTGTGTTACCATTTTATATGTCAGATGTGAATGGAAACACTTGCTTCTTCAAAATCTCCATTAAAACTGATAAAACCTGCAGAGAAGTTTGAATAGAAGATGTTACAGAATGTGCTGCAACAGGTTGAAGAAAGTGATTGAGTACGATTTTTAATGTAAGGGTAGATAGAACCCAAAATTTTCTCTTTTCTAGTAAAAGTGACTATTAAGATTAGTTTGTTTGATTTATGTGGTTTTTAACTGCTTAGGAAGTGGGAAAGGATAGGAATTTTGCACATATCAGAAGACTGAATTATCTCTGTTATCCTGTTTAATTTTAACTTTCATTTATCACTGATAGCCAGAGTTATGACATTGGGAAGATGGACATGAAATATTCTGTTGGCAAAGAAATGCAGGTAAGAAATAGAGACATTTCTATTTACAAATAGGAGGATTTTGTTAAACTGACTCCAGTGAATTATCTGCTTTTTCTGTGCAAACCGGCCCAGTGATGTCTTGGTATCCTTTTTAGAAGTCTGCTATGAAGTTTGGCGGAGTTTCAGTTGTTATGAGCATCAGTCATTGATGAGCGCCTTTAAATCACATTTGATTCTATTATTTCACAGAAATCAAAATGTAGAAAGCAAGGCTGAAGTAGATCCCGAAAGGCCATCTCTTCTTCCATTCCTCTTCTCTTTCAGTACATCATCAGTTGAGCTGTGTCATTTGTGATTGATGTTTCTCTGTCTCATCCAGAAGTCAATTAATTCTTTTACTTCCGACTGTGGATATGAAGATTTTAATCTCTTCCTCTTTATGTAAATAGTTTATATATTTAAAGTCCATCATCATGAAGATTTTTGTCCAGTTTGTTTATGTTCCTCTGTGAAGTGTGTTCCTCCTGTTATTTCAATGTTTTCTTTCATTATTTTTTTCCAGTTATCTGATTTTCCTTGCAACCCTTCAGTTTTTCTCTGAATTCTAGTTGTTTCATTTCCTGTGTGTACTGCATTGCTTCAAGACTGGATATGTTTCAGAAATGAGAAATCACTTTATATGTCTGATAGCAGGCAGGAATTCTTTTGACTCAAAGAGCTTTTATTTTTCATGAACTTGGAATTTAATTCTTTTATGTTCATATGTATGTTCACATGTGGCTGTTTTTTCGATTCCAGGCTAAAGTGCTGCGATTGTTAGCCACGAGCTATTTTGAGTGGGATTGCACTCTATACCTGGACAAGGCATTGAAAGCCATAAACTTGGCAAATCAGGTAGTAATTTTTGCTCTATTTAAAGATTGCAACAGATGAAAATCAAACATTTATTGCCATGATAATATCGACCACATTAGGTGTGTTATCCTTGACAATAGATTGAGGTGTGTTTGCTTTATGTTTCCATGCTCCTATGGATGTCTTGATGTTCCTAGCTTTTTTTTCTTTTCTCTTTCTTTTTTTGTGTAGAGAAATACTTTCTTGTATGTGTAAGTAGAGCTGTTCTCCTGCCTTCTATGTGTTAATAGTAAGGTCCTTTGATCATGGTGTGACTAAAATTTCTCAGACATGTGAGTTGATACAGGCAGGCAGCTGGGACAACCACAAACCCACAGCTAAAGCACAAAGAGTAAAATTATTTCTGTTACCTTATTATCTGGGGGATCCCCAAAGCAGCACCCAGGCACAGGCACACGAGCAGACCTGAAAAAAAAAGTGTATAAACATACCAACTCCACTGGAGGAAGTTCATATATCTCTAAGCAGCCATTACAATCAGGTCTCTTGATCCTTTACAAATTCTGTTTCCCATAGAGACTTGAATTAATTTTGTGCTTCTATCTATTCAGATCAGTGTGGAGTAAATGAAATCTGAAAAATTCCTATTTGTCTTCAGTTGATCATTTAAAATTTTTCAGTTTCTGTTTTGTACAAAAGATTTAAGTATGAAATTTTATTTTAAATTGAAGCTGAAATTCGGTTTCTGCATGCTGCTTGAATTTACAGATAGATCATAATGTGTATGCTCATGAGATTAGGATAAAAGGCAGTGTATTTTAGTCATGCAAATAATGAGCTACTACAGTATCTAAGCCTTTTGTCCTCTTCTATTGTTTACTTTTGCAAAGCTTTTTGAAAGTGTTTTTATCATAATTTTTGATAATGTACGTTTTAATGCTGTGTGAGGGTATGGAAAACCCTCAGAAGAAAATGTTGATTCTAGAACTTGAAATATGCACTGTTTTAGTGAGAGATTTGTATACAATCCTCATTATTTCCAATTGGTCCCACTGTTGTTGCTCCCTGAATTTCTTCTTTTTATAAAATACTTTGAATCTGCTAATAATAATTCTAGATTAATCCAGCAAATTCACACATCATTTAGTAATGTTCAGCTTCTATTTAAAAGTATCAAAAATAGGCCACAGCAAAATGAGGATTTTACATCTTTTACTTTCGTTATCCTTGTAGTCTTTTGGCAGTGTAAGAAAAAATAATAAAGATGCACATTACATTTAGGAAGAAATTATTGCATAAGTTGCCTACCACTTGCTTCAGTCATTAAAATAGAACTGAAGATTACAGTGGGGATTCCTTAATATTTGTCTGTATTACAAATGTGCTGTACTCTCACAGGATCTGTGTTCTACAAAGAGCTCTCCAAGTAATGTATTGTTTTTTATTGTGCAGGAGAATTTGCAGCCGGCAGGGTTTTTTTTGAAAGTTAAAATTCTTCTTAAAAGTGGAGCATCAGATGAAGATATCAACTCAGGTATCACAGCTCTCCCTAGATTTCATAGTGAGGTCTTATTAAGACATATCCAAGGAGACTGTCTGTGTCATACATAGAAAAAGAATCTTGTGTTTTTGGCAGAATCTGCATTAGCTAAATGTCTTTTGCTTTTGAAGTGTGAGACATAGTACTCAATGTTCACAGAGGAAGTATCCAGATGCTAATTTCAATAGCCTTGCTGCAAATAGGGAAGGGGGAAGACTCTGAAGGCTGTTAGAATGAAGAGAATGAAAATATAGCAATGTAAAGCTACAGTTTATTTAGACATATGCAGAAGGTTATGCAGAAGGGTGAAGGTGCATCGACTTACACAGTCAGCACAGAAGAAAGGCTGGTGAAGCATTGCTGTTCTCAGGGTGTGGATTTTGCAGATTTTGACCAAGAGACATGATGTGCTGATCAGTGTGTTGTTATAAACCTGTATTACAAGAGTTTATTTGAGTCAGATTAACTCTTTTCTCCTTATTCCTCATATTTACCACTTGAACATAACTGATTGTATTATGAAATGAGAGGATAAGAAAGTTTTTGGGGAGGCTTTAATATAGAAAGGATAATTAATGTGTCAGAGAAATTTACTTTCATAAATAATGAAATCATAGGGAAGAGAGGCTTTGTACTCCTTGTGGTTGGAAAGCATCAAAAGTGTAATGAATAATCTGAGAAATGTAGGATGTGATGAGGAATTTCTTTTAGAGAGCCGAGGGGTTTGAATGCTGTCAGACTAGCATAAATGGTAACTCCAAATTGCTCCTGGGGAATTTCAGCCAGATTTCAAGCAGCCAGTTATTTAAAACTTACATTTTCAAATAAACATACAGTAGCTGACTTGTGTTCTTCGGTTTGAATTGTGAAATCATAGAGTTACCTATCGAAACACACTTGGCTGTTATTTAGTAACATTAAGCCTCCAGTCAGTTTTTCAAGCAAGTTTTTTAATGAGTGAATGCCTCTTTTTTTGTATGGCTGGCAGAAAAGTCTTGTGTCCGTGTACTGCAACTTCTCTGTCTTTTGAGTGAAGATTCCTGCTAAACTTTAGGCATTTCACTAAAATCTTCTGTTATGTACTTGCATCAGCTGCCTTCAAATGCTTCTTTTAACGACTATTACAGTCCTCCTTGTGTAGTCCTTCTGTGATCTCACCCAAGCTACAAATGTATCTATTTTGTTGTTAACCATTAGCACAGAGTAACAATTTTAAAACTTTATCTGAGTGGTGTAAAACTGATACTTGCTTATCAGCACCAATCAATCCAACAGCTGATGTTAAGGGCATTATGTTGAAGTAGTTCCTATTGCAATATGATACCACACACAGCCTGAGCACTAACCTCAAATGTTGGGTTGTTCCTGCTGGATAAAGACGAGGCATTTTGATAGAACGCAAATTGAGGCCAAAAAAAAAAAAAAAGTTCTACTAAAGCTTGTGGTGTTCCTGTTTAAGGAGACAGACGACTAGAATTCCAGGGCTATCAATCTGTCACCTTTCTGTATTACTGCAGTGGAAGGAAAGTCAAAACAGAATAGACATTATTCTTCCATTTGTTGTAGATCTGTTATAGGGTTGCTGAGGTGGTTTTTTTCAGTTTTGTTTCTGTCTTCCAAAGGAGCTGTAAGAGGTAAGTGGTAAATTGAGCAATTAAGTGCCTAAGTTGATTATATAATCTCAAGTGCTTTGTGTTCTGTCTAGCTCTTGCAGAATTCATGCACCTTGAGATATCTTTAGACTTCTGTTTGAATACTGCCAAACTGCTGCTGGAGCATGGAAGGTATGAAAGTGTTCCTAAGTGGGGTAAACACAGTGTTTGGAGTTTTTGAGTGTTTCCTTATAAGCAAAGAACATCTGTTATACAGGGATGTTTTATTTCAAATAAAAGCTCATGGAGGTAAGGTAAAAGGTTTTGAGAGGGAGCCTGTCTTCTGTAGCAAGGAGATACTGATTATGGCAGCAGCAGAACAGGGTGTGAAATAAGTGTAGTGACAATTTGCAGTGCTGTAGACCTACTTTGGAATGCTTAAGATTCTTTATGTAGTTTTTATATGTGTCTGGAATCATCAGACTGACATCTGTCTTCTAACCAACCATCAGAATGACTTTGGAGCCCTAGAATCATTCTTGGGAAAAACAGCAGAAGGATAACAAGTTACTGCAAAATAAATTGAGGCATGAAATGTTACCCTGTTATGTGCTCCATCATGATTATATATGTATATGCTTGTGTCTTGATGCAAATGTGAAGAATTTATTCTTATGAATACAGTGGAAGAGGCATGTGGTAAGAGGAAGCTGCCATTGAATAGATGAACTGTAACAAATTCATACCTTGATTCATTCTGTCAGTGTGATTGAATGACAAACATGCTGTATGGTGTGAATATGTTAATCTCTAGAATGGAAAATTAACAGCTCTTCTGGTGCAGCCTCTTAAAAATGCATCTCTGTGAATAGGGAATCAGTTGGTTTTGATTTTCTGAGATCTGTTCCTGAACGATTTGAATCTTCACCTGACCTTGGAAAAATTACCCTGCTCCACATTGAGTTCCTGTTGCAGAATAAGAAGGAGCTGCTCGCTAAGCAAAAGATTGAAGAAGTTATTATAGGTCTGTATCCATCTTTTACTGCTGTTTACTGAAAGCTGGATGTAGTTGGCTAAGGTCTTGCATTCTAATTTTCACTTTTTTTGCTTATTCTCATTTTTCTTTCTCTCTATCTGTTCTCCATTATGTTTCTTTCACTTGGCAACTCTCAACTTCGATATTGAACGACAGTCGTGATCAAGCTCAGAGTTAAATTCATTTGCTGGAGCAATTCCTCCTTCTTAGTGTAAACTGTGTGTGACTGATACATGTGGAATTAGAAACATTAACCAGGAGTTTTGTATAATGTTAATACTTTGTCCATCCAGTCCAATTTATTTTTATGTGTCAGTATAAGACAGGTTGCATATCCTTTTTTGAGCAGCTGGACAACAGTTTATTTTTCAGGTCTGTTGCACCTGTAGCACTGTAGTACTTTTTGACTGCCAGATCTGCTGTAAAACAAATCCTAATTCATGTTGCATCTTGCTAGGAGCAAGAGCTACATTTACATTGTTCAAGCATGAAAATATTTTTCTCTTACCCACTGGGGTTTTTTTGGGTTTTGCTTGGTTGATTGGTTGGTTTGGGTTTTTTTCATAAACAGGATATGAAGCACTGGCTCCTAGCTGAAACTATGTGTTTTGTTGCAGGCTGTAGAATAGTTCTTAGATACTTCTCAGTGTGCTTCATAAAGTTCTTATAAAGTGATGATTTGCAGTATCTTTTCAGGTCATTATACTGGGAAACAGCTGTTGCCTGAAGCCTTGAATCAGCTGCACATCATCTTGTGGGACAGAGCTGCCAAATATTATGAGGTTTGGGACCAAATAGTAGTGTTATTATTTATATCACTGAAAATTATAATCTTTTTCTGACCTCTTTGTTATGTCTATTTTTGGTTAGAGTGCAAACTGTTACTAAGCCTTGTTCCAGCTGGCACTAGTTTTATTTTCATCCATCTAGGTGCTGTTTTCAATTACAAAATCAAGTTTCAGGTAGCCTCATCTTAAGGTTTCTACACGGGAACAGTTAATGCAAGAATCTCTGCTCCAGCTGGCTCCTATATGGCTATGGGGCCTGGAGGGGTTCGTCCAAGAGTAGTCAAAGACCTGGCTGGTGTCATTGTGAGGCTTCTCAATGGTTTTTGAATGGTCATGGGAATCTGGAAAGATCCCAGTTGGCTGCAAGCTGTCAAAAGTTATCGCAATTTTCAAGAAGGGTAAGAAGGACAACCCTGGAAACTACAGGCCCATCAGTCTCACTTCAGTGCCTGTAAAATTATGGAGATTATTCTGGGACTTATTGAAAAGCACCTGAAGGACAATGCAGTCATTGGTCACAGCCAGCAGTAGTCCATGAGAGGGAAGTCCTGCTTGTCAAACTTCGTTTCCTTTTATGACAAGGTCATCCACCTTGTTGATCAGCTGAAGCCAGTTGATGTAATCTCTTTGGATTTCAGTAAAGCTTTGCATACTGTCTCTCATAGTGTCTAGACAAATTAGAGGGCTGGGCACTCAGCAGCTGTATGAAATCTAACAAAGGAAAGTGCTGGATTCTGCACCTGGAACAACCTGGAGGTTGCACTAGAATATACTTGACTATCTAAATCTTTCATTTGCTATGACTTTAAAAAAAAAAAAAATTGGAAGACATAGGCAGTTTAGTCACCCAAATATGGCCATGTTTGTTTGGGTTGTATTTTATTTTTATATTTTCTAGGAGAAAAGCTATTCTGAAGCCCTTCACTGGTACAATTATTCTGTCAGCTTCTATACACCTGGGCAGATAGATCAGAATTTGGCCAAGCTTCAGAGGAACATGGCTTCTTGCTATCTTCATTTGAAACAAGTTGACAAGGTATATTTAATACATATGTAGACATACTTATGTCTTTATTTGCATTGCTTTTATTTTTGAGGAATTGGCTCTTTCATTTCTGGTCAGCCTTTGGTGCTGTCTTCTGGTCTCATCACTTTCGTTTCAAGGGCAGATGTTGTTGCCCTGTCAAATATCTTGAGTTATTCTATAAACATCAACAGTGTAATTATTAACATTTTGTGTATTTTTTTATTTCTTTCCTATTGCTAATTATGTACTAATTTCAAGCTGATGTTGTACTGATTTCCTTTAATCTCTTCTGTGAATAGGCTAAAGAGGCAGTTAAACAAGCAGAGAGGTGTGATCCAAACAGCATCTTTACTAAATTCAGTGTCTATAAGATTGCAGTGATGGAGAACGATACTGATAAAGGTACATCTTGAAAATTAAAGGGTCCACTACAAGGAGAAGTGCCAAATATATTAAAAAGTACTAAACAGCTTTGGACTGTTCATCTTGAGAAAGACACAATAGAGGGTAGCTAGAAGAAGGGTTCCTAAAGTAGTTGAAAATGTCAGGCTGTAGATTTAAGTTGTAAAAGGGGGATTTTTTTTTCCCCCACACAATATGTAAGAAGCAGAGTCCATTGCTATATTTGATTTTGTTTGGATGGAGCCTCTGGGTAGGGAGGATAATCCTCTCATGGGCAGAAGCTATAGGTAGCATCCCAGGATAAGAATAATTCTATACTTTTTAGTATGCATATACAATATGAGCCATAAGGGAACCATTATTGCTGCTCTTAACTTCTCTGGACAGATGGATCCTGAAGTTACCAAAAAATATATGAATTATTGAGATGACTTACAGAATGTTGTATCTCTGTAGCCTCTTCCTTCTTTATAATGAGTTCTGCTGTTTCATATTTTAATGAGGCTCTTAGTTCAAGTAATGAAAATTGAGAAAGAGTCTATAGTTACTTAGAATACAGAGTAATGCGCAGAGCTTATTTTCCAATGAGTTCTCTGCCATTTAATTATTCTCTATACAACTTTTATTGACAGCATAATTTGTTCACATAATATAGAGTGAGAAACACAGCACGATGTGAACATAAAAGCAGTGGCACCCTTAGCATAAGCCAAGATGTGGGAGCTTGGAATGATGCCCAGACAATGTATTAGAGAAAGTCTTCTGTCTTTGGTAACAAACAGTTACTTACCAGAACAAAATTAAAGATGTGGGATGAGTATCATTTGTTTCTTTAGATTAGTAGCTTGGAAAGCCTTCTGGCATCTCCCTAGGAAGAAATGCATATTTGTGGAGAAGTGCTGGTATGGTCAGGTTTTCTTGTCTTGGTTTTTCATTAAAAAAAAATAATTATAACCTTTCATAAATCATTAAAACAGTAGAACTTTGCACCTTCCAATTGCTTCTATAAAAATGTTGGTTTTTCCCTCTGTCTCTTTCAGCTGTGGAAGCAGTTATTGAAATGGGGAAGCTAGCAGAAAAGCCATCAGAACATGAAGACAAGCTGAGAGTGGATAAAAATACAGGCAGCAACCTCTTGAGTTTAGCTGCCCAAATTGCTTTAGAGGTAGAGCAGATAATGTTGTCTTTGCTTTCTTGATATAAATAGGACAACTGTAACCTCTTTAACCTGGCCTAGTTTTAATATTTCTCTGTATTTAATGGATTGCTTAGTGTTTCATGCTTCCACAACGAAGGTCTGGCTTGAATGTGTTGTGTAATGCAAAGTAGATATTATTTTCCTATAGAAAGAAGTAGTATCTTTTAAAATTTTGACAGAAAAATAAAGAATTTTGAGTTATAAATGTTGGCATCTGGATATTACATTGTGTGTTTCTGTAAAATTCTCCTTAGCAAAATGTTGTTTTCTTCTGCCTCTGAGATTTGATCTTTGATGTGAGAGGCTGTGTATAAAATACACATAAATCCATGATGAAAATCCTTTGTCCCTGCTGTTTGCCTCTTGATTGGTGACCTGAGTGCTGTCTGAACTGGCTGATTGCATTTCAGGCTATCAGGGCTTTGTTCCCAGCCCTGCGAGGCATGAAAACCTTACCAACCTGTACTAGTCCTGCTCTTGCCACAGGCTCTTTGTGCAGGGAATCATATGATCTCTCCTTAGAGCTTTCTCTGCACGCTCAGGCAATTTTGTGCATAGTCCTTTGTTCATTTTCCTGCTACTGGACTGCACAGACTTAGAATATGTAGTTGCTTTGAGGTTTGTTTTTGTTTGGGTTTTTGTTGTTGTTTTGTTTTGGGTCTTTTTTGTGGTAACTGAGGTAGTGGAGTATATACATAACATGTTTTAATTCTTTTCAGAATGACCAACAAATTGTGGCTATCAAAGCTTTGGAGTATTTGGCTGAACATTTACAAGACTGCCGACAATTATTTACAGCCTTAAAGTAAGAATTCAATATATTTACAAGGAGAAGCATAAGGAAGAAAAGTGGGATCCTTTCAGGAAAATTAGGGCAAACTACACCATTGAAAAAATGTTGTTTCTTCATTGATTGTTTTTCTCATATTTAGATGTTTGGTCCGTCTGATGTTATCAAAAGTCATGGCAGAAAATGCAGAGAAAAGGTGGGTCTGTTTGAAAAAACATTTTTTTATGGTGGATATGTTGTTCTAATTGTGTAATGCTTTCTTTCTGGGCTTTTTTTCTTGCAGAATAATCAAGAGATTATTTTTTATGCTAGTAAAATTCCACCTAGATGACTTCCTAGCTTGGCCTAATGACATCACATAGGAATGTATTTTCAAATTGTATAAACTTTTCTTTAAAGATTTGCTCTTTGCCTTCTTCTTTTATTAATGCATATGCCTGTCAGGTATTTTTAATGGAGGTTGTGAGTTAAGCAGTCTCTGTAACTTTGACACTAGTGGGATATTTTTCCAAAGTTCTGAGTGAGAAGAGTGGATCTATCCGTAACTGGGAAAATATATTCCAACATAAAGAATGTGTTCTGTTGATAAAAAAAACTAATCCATTTTCTAGAACTATTTTTTTCTCCATTCTAGAGATGAAGATGTCAACTCAATACTGAATTCCTTGAACTTGGGTATGTTTTTGTTTTATTTGCATTTTCTGGAGTTCTTCCATATGTGAACATTTTATTATATGATTAGATCCATACCAATGAAATATTTAGACTCCTTATTTCAGTCCAGACTTTCAACTTCCCAGTGAAATCAATGAAAACTAAAGCTGAGATTCAACAGTATTGTGAAGTTGGATCTCAGTGTCACAGGTTTTTGCTTTCAAAAACCTGCAGTACAGCTACAAGTAGAAGATATTTAAGAGCAAAATTAAATCCATAAAAGGTTCCTAGAAGAAAGGCCTCAAACTTGTAATTTAAATTTAAACCCCCTTCTTGTGAAATTAAGTGAAACTCCTCTGCATTAGACTTCAGTGTTCGTGAACTTAGAAGACCAATACTTTTTGGCATCTTCTCTGAAGTGCTGTTTGAGACACCTTTTGCTGTTTTTATAGGGCTTTCTGGAGAATATTAGATTTAAGTTGAGAATAAGTCTTCATCAGGAATTACATGGGCATTTTGGAAACCTCTGCTTTGTAATGTAGGGATTAGACTTGGAAATGTGATTATTCTGTTCCAAAAGTGGTTCTTTTGTATTGAATTATATGTTTTCTGCAGCTCACAAGAAACTTGTTGAGTCTTTCACAGAAGAGAAATTTACAGGGGATATGAGGATCCTTGAAGCTCACTGGTTTAGAAAAGTTGGTAGGTTGCTCTCTCAAAATCTAAACTGAATCTCCCCTGTCATTATTGGTCCTTTAAAACAGCAGTTTTAAAGTTTGCCTTGAACTGCAGACTGTGATATCCAAACAGCAAGCATTATCACAGATAAAGTGGTTTCTAGTAGAAAATGCAGCTCCTATGGGGCTGCCCTAAGCTTTATGCATAGTGTTGTCTCTGGATCCTCATTTTGTAGTCCTTGTTACACTGTTTTGGTAAAGGATTAGTGTATTTGCTGTCTATAAATAAAAATACAAGCTTAGGGTAACAAGTTGAACCAATTTTTCAGATTCTTGCTTCTGTCAGAGCATATAGGAGAGAAAACAGTTGCAATCAGTATCATAAGGCCTCTGGTTTTGCACACATCCTCAAAATATAACCCTGATCCAATAAAGAGTGGCAAGGGAGGGGGAGAAACAGCAGAAGTTGAATACAGTGACATGAGCATGAATGGAATCATGACCTCTCAAAGGCAGCATTCTCACAGGATAAACAATTCAGAGGCTACAAAAACATGTCCTATGGAATAAATTAATGTGAAAGTTGCTGTAGAATATAAACACTTAATCGGGTCAAGCTCTCATACATAAATAATTTGATTGCCTTTAGATGCTCATCCATTTATTACTCAGAACTGTGTACTTAATTGCCACGTACTTGACCTTGCTGGGGTAAAATGAGGAGTGGTTCAAGATGTTGTGGATTTTTTCCTATTTCTTTTTTATTTGTCTTGGGAATACTGTTCAACACTTCCACTCATGTGCTGGCTGTGTTAACTTATATAGGAAAATGCTTTTCCCAGTTCATGCTTTTGTTGGCAGGGTGTGTGCTAGAATGGGTTCTTGGTTGTGGTGAAATTATCAAGGCAAAATTTGAAAGCATAAATTAGCTATTTTAACAAATCACTAGTAACAGTATTTCTTGCTGTTGTTAAATGAGCTGTTGATGACATATTGGTTTAGAAATAGAATTGTAGAAAGTGAACTGCTTATTGCTAGAGATTAGATGGGCACACATGTAGCAGTGCAAATTTTTTATTCTGTCTCTATTTTTATGTCTTTGTTAGCTTGGAACTTAGCTGTACAGTTCAAGGAAAGCCCTGAAAAGATGAGGGATTTTTTTGTACTATCTTTCAAGGTATTTACTCTTTCTAATAGTGTTTCTAATTGAGGAATATTTTCATCTGTCTAGTTCTTCTAGAAGTCATATCCAGGTTTAGGTGTCTCCATGGAGACATATTTTTGTGCTCTGAAGATGGAGTGTTTTTGTCACAAGGAGATTGACTTGTAATATAAAATGTGTGCAGTATTGTCATACTTTACATTCTGTTTCTTAAGAATATAATAAACTTAAGACTTCAATGAGAAATTTCTAAAATAAGTGGATTCTGATATTTGTAAACTGTATCATTAATACAAACATGTTAAGTACTTGGGTCCTATCTTTATGCAGGAATTCTACCAATACTGTCGGTTTTGTATGTGCTTTAGAGAGGGGACTCCAACTCTGCTTTACCCTTTAAATAATCCTTTTGTGTAATTGTAAAAGTAAATTAAAAGTAAAATTAAAATATGAATGTATACTACTCATGACTGATTCCTGCAAGTGTCATAGAAGAGGGTCAGCAATCATCTGTTCACAAGCAAATTGCTTTATATGGTTAAAATTCTCATTACCTTTTCCTATTTTTGGTGTCAGTTGTCCCAGTTTTGTCCCTCTGACAAAGCTGTTCTAATTGCTCAGAAGACATGCCTGTTAATGGCAGCTGCAATTGATCTTGAAATGGGGAGACAAGTTACACATTCAGAACAGGTAGGGCAAAGCCTGTTAACTATTTCTGAATGTACCATGTATGTACCACGAATGTAGCATTTTTTTCCTTTTGATTTTGAAGTCCTAGTTTTTTCACTCAGAACGGGATATTGAGAATGTAAGCAATGGAATATTTCATAGTCACTTAGAATGGATGCACCTTTCCAGACAATTGTAAATGTTGGATTTTTGTAAATTAGCTCAGTATGTTTGAATGGGTTTGTATCAATAAAGGGTCATGGCAGTATCTTCTGAGAGGAATTTCAGTCTACAAGATATATATTGTAAGGAGTCTGCTGCTAAATGTGGGTTAGTCAGAAAGACAGTTACTGCTGTTGCTAAAAGTAGTTACCACTGTGGTTGTGATAAAACTCACTTTTTGTTTTGTCTTGTGTTTATGCATACATCTGTTTATGGGGAGTGGAAGAGGGCATTGTGCTTACTGTGGTAAAAAGATTAAGGAAAACACAGAGGTTGTGAAGGAAGTACAGAAGTCTGGTATTGAGTGATTGTAGACAATTCTGTGGAGGGCAACAGCTACTTGTGCTGTGGCATTTAGTGGTTTGTCAGTCTCAATAGCACTATTTTTTGCTTGGAAGCTGGAACAGTTATGTCCCTTAGGAACTTGGATGGTTCTTTCTGGGCCAGTGAAATGTTCATTGTGAAGTAGCTTTGTCTGAGATGTGGAGTAGCTTTGTCTGAGATGTGGAGGTCTTTGAAAAAGAGAAAAAACCCCAAGAACCCAGTAATGGGTATAGGCCATTTACTAACTAGGCTGATTCTTAATTTATTTTGTAGTTAGTTCTGACATAATTATTCATTTTGCTTTTAAAATTATGACAAAAATAACTTATTTAATTTNTATTCCAGTCAAAGGAGTATAATGCAATTAACTATTTTTTCCTGTTGTAATGGTAGCATCTTCAACTTGTGGTTTGACAGAGCTTTTTAGTCAGGCCCTTCAACATCTTCAGACATGCAAGGAGATATGGAAGGTGCTGAAATTAACAGGTAAGCTACAAAGTGTGTGTTTTCAGCACACATAACTCTTAGTCACAATATTAATGAAAAATGCAGAGCATGTGGAATTGTTGTCTCAGATGAAGTTTATTGGAGTACATAGATGACAATATGATAAAAGTTGAGCTTTAAGTGGCTGTTAGCCTAGCAGATGCAGGGTTCACTTTTTTTGGTAGGATATTGGTAGAAAATTTCCATTAGGTATTCCTTGAATGGCAAATTCCACTTGCTCTATTGATAAGTCTGAGTACCTTGATGGGTGCCTGTTGGAATCAAAAATTATCTTATAGTACAGCTTCGAGAAAATTCATCATTACATGCAGGCAATCCTGTCTCTTTTGTAGGAGATTTTGCTAAAGACCCAACAGACACGTTGTTGCTGCTTTATGAATTTGAAGCAAGATCCAAACTGAATGATCCAACACTTCACAATCTCATGGAGTCAGTCTGGGAGCAACCACAAATAGAGATCAAGACACTTGAAATCATTGCATGTAAGGACTTTTATAGATCTTCAGGTCATAAAAAAAGAGCTTTATTTCTCTTTCCTGTTCTTTTGAGGTGACCAGGATTATCATGTATTGTATAACATACAGAGAATAGGTCTAACAATATATATTTTGTCCTGAAGTGAAAATGCTTAGGATCTCAGCAACGTTAGGAGAGCTTTGTTTTGAAATGACAGATGACATGGATGATAAACCAGAAAGTTGTGATATCTTTCCATTTCTAGACCTGAGATACTTATATAGCTGTGAGCCTGGAAAGGGTTTTTCAGATAAACTTTTACATACTCGAAACTGGCATAGGCCAGAGAATGACCCTCACTGATTCATGCCCCAGTACAGAAGTTTTGGGCTGTGGACTTTGGATAGATACTTTAAGTGTATTTAAGCTGCTAAGATAACCTTAAGTTTCAACTTAAAGTTTTTATAGTCAATCTGTAAATAGCACTTCTCTAGAGTGTGCCATACTTTCATCACAAAATCCTAGCCATGAAAACATGCTTGAAAATCTGGAGCAGGATCCAAGTAAGATGAGGAGCATTTAGAATTACCATGGCAAGTCTTTGGAGGGTGTCCTGTAGGATTGCATAAACACCTTCTGTTCTCTTGCCCTGAAGGAGTTTCACTCCAGCGCCTGGAGACACCATTCTAAATCCTGCTCCTGCATAAGGTTTCGTTTCCATCTGGATTTTTGTGTTCAAAGAGACAAACAAAACTCTTTAGACAGTGCCTCCCACCAGAACTTTTTTGTATTACTACACTGGAGGTAAACAGCGGTGAGTTATGGAACTTTCCGTGCTTCTGCCTCATTGTTCTCATTGATGATGTGCTTAGTAAGAAAGAGGGAGAGAAGCACCAGCTTGTGACCAGCCCATTATGCAGATCTCTTTTCAGTTGTTTTTCACAAGGGATCTGGCAACATGCTGTAGTTTATTTTAGTGACCTATGAGATTGAAATCTGACTTCAGTAATTTGTCTTTTATTCTTCTCTATTTTCTTTTACTTTTAAGCATTAGCAATGGAAGCTCCAGCTCGGTATCCTGTACTGTGTAAGAAAGCTCTCAAGAGTGCACTAAACCTTCACAGAAAGCAGGCTGTCATTGATGCTGAGAAATTTAGGTTAGTGTTATCACATAGCTTTTGCCATAAGCCTGTGACTGGAAATGCTGACAGGGAATAAAGCCTTCGATTTGAAAAAAAGTGGATTTTATTCTATATCCAAGGTTCCAGCCTTGACTGGCCCACCAATGTACCTCTGAAGGATGACTGCCTAACAGATGTTTTAACTGCAGTTTGTTTACATGGCATATTTTCTGGCACAGTCCCGTTTCCAATAAATTAATCTGTTGAGGAAGGAAAATTAAAATTGGAACCAGAAGAGGTCTCTGGTTGTTTCTTGTGAGGAAAGTGTTCATTTCAAATGTTATTCTGGAGTAGTGAGCTGAGTATTTCACAGACAGAGAAGAGAAATTAAGGGTTGAGAAGAAAGCTATGAGTTGTAAGGTAGTGATGCCACATAGTACATATGTGATTTATTTAGCATATTTATGTGTTACTTATCCTTTCCAAGTTCCTTGAAGTAAGCACTTGGCAAAGACAACTGTTGATATTGCCTTTCTCACTTCACACTGACAAAGACAGAACTGTTTTCAGAACCCTGTATTTGTTACTGATTTTCTGAGGATGCTGCCTAGGTAACTCTTGTTGGTGAGGTACTTTTCTCTTGCTGTCATGTGTAGCACCCTAGGAAGTACTGTGATTTTCTTTCTGTGTCACTGCAGAGACCAGCAATGAAAATAAATAAGTACTAATTCCTCTTGACTCTGTTTTTTCATAGTTTGTATGAATAAGATCTGATAGTATGAAAATGTATGTTTCTCCTACAAGAATATGAGTGTAGTAAACACCAAGGTAGACATGTCTGACAATCATAGAGAAATAACTCAGTGTGCTCCTGATACTAAAAAATGTTTATGCACATGGTATTTAATGTCTCCTCTTTTGCTCTCTTTCAATCCTCAGCAAATGCTTACACAGTTTGATTAACATTTCTTTGCCGACTGGATTGACAGACTTGGAAACCTGTGTGCTGCAGGAGGTGTGGGACTACTTTGAAGATGCTCTGAGTGTAGTCAGCAGCACAGTAAGTTGAAGAGGAAACCAAGACACTGAGAGATGATCCTGAGCACATTTGAAAAAAATTGGCATTAGACTGAGAATCATTAGTAAAATGAGCATTACATAGCGTTATATGTGGAGCTGCTAAGATTGTGCCAGTAAAAGATACACTGAAATTACCTAAAAAAAAAGTCTTTTGGATATTTAGGACTGCATTAAAAATTTTCCTTGGATTTTGTAAGGGACTTTTCTCCCATTGCTTAGGAGGAAAAAAAACCCAACTGTTTTCTTACTCTAAAATTAAACTCTTGACTTGTCGGTTTTGAAGTGAGGATGCTATTGGCTAATGAGGTGCTGCTGCTTGTTTGCTACCTCAGGATGCTTACCCAGAGATGGAGATCCTTTGGTTGATGACAAGAGCCTGGAATACAGGAATATTTCAGTATACTGTTGGTAAATACAAGGAAGCTGAGCAGTGGTGTGGATTGGGAATGCGTTTCCTCAATCACTTAGGATCTCTGAAGAAAAGCTATGAAGGCCATGTAAGTGTACACAGAGGGATTTGAGGATATGGGATGGGATGTCTGGTCTGCATTTGAGGTGTAGATCTGGGTGAAGAAACCACTGCTGATGATCTTTAGAGTTTCAGGAGAATCATGGTATCTAAATATTTTGGGGGAGCCTGGTGCTAAACAATTTTTCCTAAGTGAAGCCAGAAAAGTTTTGATAGACAATAGGGAGAATAACATAGCATTCTTTTACTGAAAGGGTGATGTAAATGGATGACGGGAAATGAACTTCTGACTCTTTGTGGCCATGGGAGAGCTTTGTACCTTTGCCTGCTTTAACTAAAATCAAGTTGTTGTACCAGTTTACTTAAATCAGCTGTTATATTAATACTTTCAAGGTTGGTTTCGAGTATAATCTAATGTCTTATAAACAGAGTTTAAGACAGTGTGAAGAAAATCACTGCAGCTCATCTTCTCAGGTGTAATTTAGCCTCTTCCTATGAGGGAGAAATTTACAGGCTTGCACTTTTGTAGGTGACACTTTGTAACAACACTTTTTCTTACTCTGTCACAAGTAAGCTTTCTACAGCTTTTGGCTGCTGCTCCACTGGCTGGTGTCACCATTCATTCTCTTGTGTACAAGCTGAGAAATCAAAGGATTGGCTGTAACTCTTACACCATTTTAAATTCATCAATTAAGACAATAAGAGCTGACAATAAGAAGTCTTTCCCATCCTTAACATCAACTCCCAATATCTGTGATTTGGTGAATAGGTTTGTGTACTGATATAAGACTCAGATAGAAACTATGACTGTAAATAAAACCACTTTTGTTAGGTTGCACTGATCTTTTTTCTGAAACCATTGTATTTAAACCTATGCCAAAAATCTTTACATCAGTTTGAAATTTTAGGTTTAGAAGCTGGTGGTAGTTCCCACCTATTCCCTTGGTTCTGTTTTCTGTCACTTTGTTGAATAATACATTTTTAATCTATCCTTGTTGACAACTGTGGTGCTTATGTTCTCCAGATGTTTGGCCTTTACAGTGAGGTTCTGGACAAGCTGGACAGAGCAAAAGGATTTATTCCAAATGAAGAATAATGACAGCCACAACTACAAAAAAAGGAAAGCAGTCTCTCTTGGAAACGTTCTGCTGAATGAGAGGCCATTGGCTCTGTGAAGGCACAGGGCCATGGGAACAGTGGAAAAGAAACCAGGATCTCCTTGTTGGCAAAAAAAGTTATGTACTTTTTAGGAAGTGTTTATTCAATAAATGTAATTATTTTCCTCTAGGGAAAGATTTTCATTCTCTGGAGCTATTTAACAGTTAGAAATAAATATTTAACTTTTACATGAGATGTCTCTGCTGTTGTGTAACAGGTTGGTTTAAATATCTGGTTTTAGTAGCAAATGGCAATGAGCATTATAAAAGTCTTTAAAAAGTATTCCATCTCCTCTGGTTGTCATAGCTGCCTTACTGCATAAATATTTATCAGATTGTTTAGTTTCCAGTCCATTTCAGTGGGGACAAGAATTCAGAGCTGTTTGCTGGTTTCACAGTCCCTTGGAATAGAAAAGCCAACACTGCTGAGCTCGGGGAAGAAGCTGCAGCTGTCACTGGCGGTGCTGTGAGGGCTGCACTCCTCCCTTCAGCTCACTGAACCCTGGGCCAGGCAGGTGCTCAGCAAGTCTGACCACCTCTGGAACTTGGCTGTGGGAAACCTGGGATTGAGCCAGTGAGGAATCCTGTCTGTGTGAGAGTGGGGTGTGCAGGGAGCCAAACGAGGTCACTGGAGCTGCCACTGTGAAGGGACTTCGGTCCCAGCAGGGCAGTCTGGGGTGGTGCCAGTGTGACCCCGGGAGGGACATCTGAAGGGTCACACAGGGGAGCTCCTTAACAGGAGGATGGATGTGTTTAGTGTAAATTATCTTCTTAATAGTGAACTTAAATCAGTTCACCAGACCTAATTTGGGTCTCCGAGACACTGTTTTCAGATCTCTAATGCACAATGTGCTGCCTGTTTAACTAAGAAATACCTTTAAATCCAGGTCTCAAATGCCACAGAAAATCCTTCTGGAGTCACAATTTTGGAGATCCATGCTGCATCACAGCAGTGGGGGATTCTAAACGATGCCACAAATTCAAAGGGATCCATCCTGCCTGCAGTATCTCCTTGGAGCCTGCCAGGCTGGCTTTAATTACTGCTCAGTTCTGACTTGCACACACACATAAACATGTAAAGGTGTCACACTGTACCTGGTGAGAACAGCCAGCTTCTACAGCCATAGAAGGCAACAAGTACTAAATGTGGGTTTGCCTACAGCCAGAATGGTTTGAATTTTTTCCTTGGAGTTACTGTTTGATTTCTTTTATGCTACAGACAGCACCGAAGAGCCTGGATCAGATAAGGTTCAGACTCTGCTGATAGTACTCATCTCTTCCTGCACATTTTTACACAGGCTTACACATTTTATTCCAGGCTTAGTATTTACCAAAGGGTTTAACTAGGGTAGGAATTCCTCTCCCAGCTGAATCAGACTGTAATTAGCTGCATTTCCAGTGGCCATTCCCAGTAGTAATTTGTGTACAGTCACAATTTTGCAAGTGTTTGCTGGTGCAAATGCAGATGGTTCAGGTTATTTTACCAGGCTAAATGTTGCTTTACAGTTCAGTAGCCCATCAAGGGTGACTGTGGTTTATATCTTTTTAAACCAGCAACAGCTGACCTATAAAAAAAAATACAGCTGTTCATTCCTCCCCCATTCTTATCTTTTCATTGATCCCTGTTTTGTTTCAGCTCAGAGAGCCTGTGTGCTCATCCCTGGATGTGCACAAATGCCTCCAGAGAGTGGCATTGCAGCAGTAGTTTCCCATTTACACATCATTGTGGGTGTGCTGGACCCTGGTTCTGTACTACAGACTCCTCCTTGCTTTGGAGAGCACGAATGGATCGTTCAGGACAGGAGGTCACAAACTTCCACCCCTTTCCCCTGCCCCCCGCCAATCTGGTAAATTCTTCACCATTTGAGGAGAAGCAACAGTGCAGGGGCGCAAAAGAATTGCAGCGTGAAATGGAGCACGGGTCCAGGGAGAGGGCGATTCTAAACCTGGGATTGATGGGATTGTGGCTGCAGGGAGCCTGCCCTGGGAAAAACATGTTTGCTGAGAAGAGTCTGGGAATGGGGCAGGGCAGGGAAGATACCAGCTGATCCCCGGAGCCCCTCCTGCTACCTCGCACCCAGAGAAACCTGCAGTAGGAGCGGGGCTGCACTGAGGGTGCACCTCCCACCAGACGGTGTGGGAAAAGCTTTGCTCCCACTGTTGTGGCTGCATTGAGCGTTTGGGAGAGGCAGAAAAGGAAGAGGGGCTGGCCTGGCCACTAACATTTAGAAGTGGTCACAATAATCAGAAATCAAGGTAATTGGAAGAGGGCTGAAGCTCATTAGACGATTGGGCAAAAGCTTTTGTCAAGCAGTGCACTGGAACTAGGGGAGGAAATTCCACAGTCACCCCTGTGCTGAGTCAAGCCTGGCCCCAACCAGGTATTGCAAGTCCCGTAAGTGCCCCCACGTGTTTGTACCATTCAGAGATGCTGCACTGATTGACCCTAACAATGTGTAATGTTTACCCTAAAGGTAAACAAATGACCCTAATTTTGGAGGCAAGGGATATAAATAAACACTGAAGGTCAAGGTGTACCCAAGGATTCTTGAAGAGACACCTCTGACATGATGATAACTTTACCTGCTTCACAGCAGATGCTTCAGTGCCATGAATCCTGCTGTGACAGCCTGAGGAAAGCAGAGAACAGCAGTTCTTGAAGATTGTGCTGCCAAGCATCGTTAGCAACAATGGGCGTATCTAAGACAGGTCCATCAGTGGGAAAAAATTTTTGAGAAAATTATAATTACATTCCCTTAAAGCCCCTCTTCCAATAGCCTCACAGCACAACCTGTGCTTTTCTGCACACCCAGAGCTGCAGACAGAAGACATGTTTCTCAAGAGGACAAGCAGCTTAAAAGTCTAATTTTCTAGAGGTGTCTTAGGGCAGATTATTTTCATGCCTGTTGCAGGCAGCTGTGGCAGGACGTCTTGTGAGAGAAAAGAACCAGCTCCTACATTTCACAATTAGATATCAGGACCATTATCACGACAGTGCTCTGCTATTCTCGGGACCAGGACTTTGCAAAGGCAGAGCAACTTGTTCTTAGCCTGGAAAGTGGGTGGTTACAGCTTTAACAGTGCAGCTTCCTTCTCCATGCCACCCTTTCTCTTCACATCTTGGTTTCTCTTCCAGAGGTTGTTCTGCTTTACAGGAGTGACAGGGTTTATTTGAGAGCATAACTCTGTGTTCCTCTCCCCACTGGAACCTGAATGTTTCCCTGCCACAGCAGATGGAGGTGACACATGAGCTCAGAACACATCATGGTTTGCCATGGGAGGGGTGTCTGCAGCCCCACACTGGAACTAACCCTGGGCTGGGCAGAGCAGCCTGGCAGTGCTGAGGCAGCCAGCAGCAGACAATGCTTCTGTGTTGCTTCATCCATGGCTCTCAGTCTGTTATTAGGCAAGCAAACAGTTTGATGTTTGAGAATGCTAATTCTAGCATCAGATCTGCTTAGCAACTGCTTAATATTCCTGTGTTTTGTGGACAACCACCACCAGACTGATCTGATCAGTTAAAGGAGTTTCTAAAAGGTTTTTAATTTGTCCAGTGAGCTTCACAAACTGAAAAGTCAGCAAACTGTGTGCCCATGCTCAGTCGATACAACATCCTTGTTCCCCTGAAATCTCAATTTGTTTTCTTCTATGCAGTTTGAAAGTGAAAAAGAAATTTAGTATTTAAAACCAAACTCCTTCACCCTTCTGTCAGCTCAGCTAAATGTGAAAGCAGATTCAGGCACAAAAGCACTGTGACACTCCTTTAACCATATTTGTCTTCCAGGGAACACTCCTTTTCCTTGCATTTGAAAGGTACTAAAAATTATACTAGTTGTCTTTACAACTTCTCTCTGATATTTAAATAGCATGTTAAAACTGTAAAAAGAATCTGTATATTAGCTGGACTATGTATTTACTTTGTTGTCTTTATATCCAATACAAGAACAATTATGTAGCAGCACATAAACCCTATTATTTGTAAAGCAGCCTCCCCACAATTCAAGCCATGATCCAAAATACATTTATAGTGTTGTGTCATCAGGCTAGACTTAACCTGGGTTAAAACAACCCAACCAAAAGCACTTTTCAGTGTCTGAGTTACAGCTGTAAATAAGCCCACTTATTTTCTTTTGTTTTCTATTTTTTAAAAATTTCTTTTTTCCACTAGGCAAGTTCTCAGACAGCACCTTTTATACTAAAAAAGGCTTTTTTTCCCCTAAACCACTGTCAACACTTCAGTTTGCCAGACAGACACCATATCAAGAGTTGTTAACAGCAGCACCAAAAAAAACAGATCTGGTACTCAATGAAGGACTCTACAAGAAGGTCTCAAAGACAAGAGTTCTTTGCAACTCTGTTTATTAAAAATATATGTCTCCTTGGAAGAAACACTGTTAACCAACTACTGTTGTCATGATCAATTTGATACTGTCAGCTATGCCATGGAGTACATAATCTTTTTCTCCACCTGACTTCATAGAGGGAGACAGGCTATTAAGAAAAAAGAGAAAAAAGAAAAAAAAAAGACAAAAAAGATAGGAATGTGTGACTAGCACCTTAAGGACTTTTGTTTCACTTACTCCACTTCTTCAGGGACCGACATTTATAGCAGCTGGAGCAGGACCAGCGGGGCAGGGGCTGGATGCCCGACAGAAATCCATTGCCAAAGTTCTGTGTGCTCCTTTAGGGTCGGTCCCAATGACAGCAGAATCCTCCTGCTCTCCACCATGCTCATGGCTGCATCTCTCCTGCAGCTGTGTCCTGGCCCCAGAAGCTGCTCGGTCCCTGCAGGGCTCCTTGGGATGCAGGATGGCCAAAGGGAAGCTTCTGCCCAGTCAGCACTTGGACAGTCCTAGAGCAGCTCTGGCTCACACTGACAGCCGTGGCCTGTGTGCCAGGCACTGAGTGACACACTGAGAACCATCACCTCGGGGAGAGGGGACCACAGCTTGTCCCTGCCAAACAAGGGGAGAAGGAGACTTACCTGGTCTGCTTGGACAGTGACCTCCTGTGCTGTGGGGTGTGGCACCGTGTGAGGAAAGCTCTGTAAGGTGGGAGCCTTCAGACCTGAACTCTGAGCACCCAGCACACACTCCTCAAAGGCCACATGAGTGTCCCCAGCTCCACATAAGGGTCTGTTCCCACACTGGAGCCCCACTCAAGCACAGAAGCCAAAGTGTCCTCAAAGGCAGACACGTCCTAGCTTAGGGCCAAGTGTCTCGGTGCCAACAGTCGCCTCTCTTGAAAAATGCCAGTGCCCAGTGGATGGGGCAGCTCTGCAACCCCTGCGCCTCTGCCTGCCAGCTGGGGCACCACTTCAGGGTTTTGGGGTGGCTTGGGGGAGGCATCAGAACCCAGCTTCAGCCACAGGACTCACAGAGATGTCAGAGACAGAGCCAGGCAAGGTGGGCACACAGTCACCTTTGCTGGAAGGACAGCCCCTCCCCTGGGAGAGCCACCTCCAGCACTGCACACAGCAGGGCTGGGAACTCGGCATGGAGCAGGGAAGAGAGGAAGTTTTTCAATTCTGTTACTGATCTGGAAAATGTGAGTGTCCATCCAAGGCACAGCTGGGGGCTTTTCCTGCCAGTGGCAGAAGGGAATGCCAGTGTGCTGCCACAGGCCAGAATGGGTCATTCCACCTGCACCCACAGGTACAGGGCCAGTCCAACATCCCAGGTTTTTCACAGCAACACAGGACAGTGAGTACATTTGTTCCATGTGGCCAGTAAAGTATTTCTTAACTAAACACCACAGATCTAGATTCTATTTACAATAGAGCCAGCTTAAAAAATAAGTTAAAAAACAGGATTTTATACCCATTCAGTCCATCATTAACAAGAGAAAAATGGAATAATAATAATAATAATAATAATAATAATAATAATAATAATAATAATAATAAAAAGCCAACACGACAACACAATATGGTTTTGGTTTAAAATCAGCTTAAAAAAATAGAACCAAAAGGAAACCTCTCATGCAAACACATAAGGTGGTGCGTAAAACAATGTGCAATTTAATATGTAGTATCATCCATTCTCTTGCTCCGCAGCCTCCTGCTCAGTCTCTGTCTCCCAGCCTCTCTCAGGCCAGCTGCTGCTCCTTGCTCTGGTCCCTCCTGCACAGGCAGTACCAGTCTTTGCCCTGTCTCAGACCCAGGCTGGCTGCAGGGAACTGGCCTGGATGGGAGAAGTTTCCAAAGCCCCTGGTACCGTTTTGAGCTCTTCCTGCCCAAGTGGACTCCCTACACCAAGTGGTTGGGACAGAGGAACTGAAAGAACCTTGCAATAACACAACACCTTTCCAGAGAGGTCCCCCAGATTTCCTAGTCCACATACATATATATATATATAATATATATATAATATCTCTCCTCTATATTATATATAAATTACATATACAGATAAATAAAATGCTTTCTGCTGCCCATCTGTCGCACTGTTCAGAGCTGCTAGACAGTCACACTTGGAAAAATGCCCCTGGAGCTCTGATACCAGCTCATGTGTTCAGAGTCCATTGTTTCACTTGTTTTCTTACATTAGTCCTTAGCCGCCTCCTCCCATCTTGATTCTTTGTTTAGTTAATAATAATAATAATAATAATAATATAATAATAATAATAAAAAAACGACCTTGAATGGGTTCTCGTCTGTCTCTAATGGAGCAGTGGGAAGGTCCATGCAGGAATGGTGGAAACAGTCACGCGATGAATGATATGAGTTCATCCCAACAAAAGAAACAGGACTAGAAAACTCAATTTTGTGACGATCTAAAAAAGGGAGCAGGAATAGTTTTCATATCCCTCCCCCTCGGGGCAGAGGGCTTGGATGGGTGGGACTTCAGAGATCTTCTGCTCACAGGGAAGCAGGTGGGAGACATCTTCAGAGTTTCTCTGGGGACGGGACCCAGATGTAGTGCCCGGACTGGTCCTCAATGATCTGTTTGATTTTGCTGTAAATTTCTTCAAGAGAGTCTCCTTGTACGATGGCTGGAAGAGGAGAGAACAAGCAAGACCTTGAGCAGCAGGCAGCACTGCCGTGAGTTATGTCAGAGCCTTCCTGCTGCCCCAAAGGGCCAATGGCACAGCCAGCAGGGACTGAACCAGGCGGTGTCAGAGGAGCTGCCATGGGCCCAGTGACACAGAGGGTTAAAGTAGCAGCTCGGCAGGGATTAGCCAGCTCTGATCCTGGCTGGCAGAGGCCCTGGCTGTGTGCAGGACTGGCTGGCCTCTCCACACCAGGCTGCTAGTCAGCTTTGCAAACCGTGTCAGGCACTGCCCTAGGGCTGGCACTGCCACGGCTGCACTGACCAGAGTGAGGCAAGGCAGGGCTGGGGCAGCTCAGTGGAGTGTCCCTTCCCTCTGGTTTTCCTTCTGGCCAGCTGCTGAAGGCTCCTCATGTTTGCTGCTTCCCCTGCTGAGGGGTGGGAGCACAGAGCTCTCAGGCTGGGAAGGGCCAGCATGCTCCCAGCAGCAATCCCTGCCCAGTCCTGATGCTTAGCACAGACACAGCATGAGACACTTTACTGTGCTGCTTACATCACAGCAAGATGCACGAGAAGGGCCAAAGCTTTCTGGTAATCCAGCCTGCCTCTGTAACTCAGCCAGGACCATCCTCCAGCACCTCTGCTCCTTCATTCTAAGCTGCTGGCACAGAACCCGTGACAGCGACCATCACTCTGCCCATTACCCAGTTCTTTCAACACATTTCAGCCAACAGCATTCCTTTTTCATAGGTCAACATCAAACTCGCCCTACAAGCGCACAGTGGCATGTTGAGGGCCTGCAAAACTGTGGTATGTCTTCCTGGAGGAACACCCAGAAGCTCTGGAGCTGCTGCCCAGGACAGGAGGTCTGGGGAAAGCTCGCAGTGTTTATACCCAAATATTTGCCTAGCTGAAATCAATTTTTGGAAAACATCCTGCCTGAGGGTTTTCCCAGTAGCTATTAGGTGGGTAATACACACTTTGGCAACATTATCATTCCTTAGCTTAAGAAGAAACAGCTATTGCACTGGAGAAAAGATGGAAGACCAGTTTTTCTGCCTCTTCACCTGCCTGTGGTTTTCCAGAATTAATCATGTTACAAACTTTAGTTCCTTAATGCACAAGGATGTCTGTGTCATGAGCAGTTCATCTCAGCAGGCACAAAGTGTCAGCAACCCCTGACTGGCTCTTGAGCAAAGACTACTTAGGAAGCAAGCCAAACTTCCAGTCTTTTTCAGTTGATGTTTTGTAATAACTCAGGACTGTCTCCACCATTTAGGTCACTAATTTTTTATCTTTCATCTTTAGAAACTTCTCTTTTCTCTCTTTGAAAATGCTCCCCTTTTCTCCTATGCAGGGAGTTTACTTGTACTTGAAACCCTGAGCTTCTCCTGCTTAGGGATTTTTAGATTTTCTATTATTGTTGAAGTTGGTGGTAAGCTTTCACAAACTCAGAAAATCCTGCCTGACAACTTTTCTCCTCCTCTATGACTGGTTTACTCCTGTCCACTGAACTTGGAGGAGTCCCCTTGCAGAGCCCTCCTGGCAAAGTGCCATTTCTTTTTTGCTTTGATGAAGCTGGATGTTTTCCCATGACCCTGTAGCAGGACAGTGCTGGCAGAGAGGTCACAGCTGCAGGACAGAAAAATGAAGTAAATCAGATACAAGCCTGCTCAGGACACTCACCTGTAAAATATTCTCCAAACTCTTGCTCAAGTTTCATGGCTTTGTCAAAGACCTTGTTGGCTTGTTCATATGTTTGTCTCCGGTTCATCTCCCTGCCATGCACAAAAATTAGAAACTTTTTAGCTTTTTTTCTTAGCAATGAACAGAAGCAAAAATAGCCCACAGAGCCAGAGTGCTTGGAAATCCTCTGCTCACAGGAATGGAAGCTGTGCAGGACCCAGCTCCCAAAGGCAGGGCTCTTCCCCACAGACTCCAGACTGCCTCGGCACTTCATCTCAACTTCCACCAGTTCTTCCCATTACCACCTACCCCACCCTCCTTGACTATAGCATGGAAGAGAATTCAAATTCAAACAATCCCTTAAATTTGTGAGACTGCTGCAGAAGTCTCCCTGCTTGCCTAGGTTTTCTCATCTCCACAAAACATAGAAATAAGCAATTTGACCCTTCCGACTCCCAGGCCCCTTGGTGTCAGCAGAATTTCTTCTGATCTCAGGGTCAGTCTCAAGCTGTTGAATCTCTCACAGATAATATTCTCTACTGCTGCTGCTCAGAAGAGTTGTAATCTCAGCTCTCACATCCTTTCCAGCCTGCACTACCCAGGGCCAGAAGCAGCAGGAGAAGCAGCTGGAGGGTCACAGAACACGGTGCTGCACTTACATGAGGGCTTCAATGGATTTGGGTTTGATGAAAATGGCAATGGGATAAAGTTGTGCTTGTCGCAACCTCTTGATAGCATTGCCAGACACATCCAGGATGCAGTGCTTCCCCTGGAAAGGAGACAATCAGGATCAAAACTACCCACACAGTCTACTATGTGTGGGAAACAGCTTGCTCATACAGTTGTGCTTGAAAAGGGAGGAGCCACAGAAATGAAACCCCACTCCTGAGACACAAGTCAGCTCCCAACGGCCTCACATTCCTGCTTGCTCAGGGCAGGACAGCAACAATGCAAAGGGACTGAACCTTTGTCTGGATATGTGAAACTATTTACAAGCCCTGGGTAACTCCAGGACTCCTCCAGAGGAACGCTGCTGCTTTGAGGGCACCCAGGTATCTCTATCCTCTGAGCTCCTGAGCACAAGGCTGGGCCACCAGTGCCAGGCTTTTGGGTGGAGTTTGTATGACAGAAGTACCATGCTGAGGTAGAGTAACACAGCTGAGAAAAGCAGCCACATGGCTTGGCAGGACTCTGGAGGGAGGAGAGGATCGTGCCATGCTTGCTTAATGTGGTTACAGCCCTTCATTAACACCACGGGGAAAGGAGGGGAACTGCTTAATGCGTGTGGGCTCGGGCTGGATGCCAGTCCCAGGAATGGCACCTGACACTCACCCTCTCTGCCACCGCTCGCACTGACTGGATGCTGGTCCCATAGAGATTGTCATTGAACTGCCCAGCCTCTATGAACTTGTTGTCCTGGATGTCTTTCTCCATCTGCTCCCGGGATACGACAAAGTGGTAGTCCTGGCCGTCCACCTCGTTGTCACGCCGAGGCCTGGTGGTGTCTGGAGGAGAGCGGGCACCAAGAGTGACCCCAGAGTGACACACGAGAAACTAGGGGGACAAAACCCATCTGTGCTTCCAGCCCCTCCCCATGCCACAGGCAAGACCCTGCAAGGAGCAGAGCCACCACTCTCCCCTCCCTCCAGCAAAGGCACCGAGTGCTGGCTGGGACTTACGGGGCACGCAGGAACCAAACTTGTGTGGGAATTCAGAGATGAGGTCATCGTTAATTCGGTCCTTTGTCGGCCCCAGGATGATCACTGGCCTCGCATAGTGAACTGCAAAGAAAAGCCACAACCTGAGGCCCCACCTGTGCTGTGGGCAGCTGACCCTACTGCCACTCTTGGCATCGACGTGCCCTCTCCTTGCTGGCAGTGCTCACATGGGCACCTAAAGGTGCCTCCTCTGGGAGAGTTTATCTCCTCCTGGTCATGGTAAACATGTCCTTCCCATCTGACCCAAACCATCTGGGTGGCCCCAGGGAAGGTTCTGCAGGTCTCCAGGGCCGTGGATCAGCAAAGCTGCTCCCTTGCTTGGGGCAGGAGCCAGGCAACCAGGACAGCTGGGCGAGGATGCCATGGAGCTGGGGGAGTGATGGGAGCCTACGAGTCAGATCCAGCTTCTGGCAAGGACAGACCACTGGGGCTGGGACTATTCAGCCTGTGAAAGGGTCTGCAGGGTTTGAGTATCAAGCAGGGTTAAAGGCTGTGGGCTGAGACAGTACTGCTCTGCAGCAGGGATCTGGTCTGAGGCAGGAAGGGATAATCTTGTTCTCAGCTGAGGACTAAAGCCCAGCTCAGTTTTAGCTCTGGATCTCCCCCTTGGTCTTGCAGACCTTGACACAAATCTTTTCTGTTGATTCAACCTGGGCAGTCGAGGCCAGGGAAAGCTCCCCTGCTGCACGCAACACACGAGACTCCACTTGCATCCAACCAGTGCTGTGCTGGTATGGCAGGAGGGGAGGGCACACCGGACACCCTGGCTGTGCTGGGGACACAGGTGGCCCACTCTGGAGTGGGCACGGGGCAGTTCAGCTCAGGACTTACTTTCTTGCCGCGTCACTGGCTCGTACGATAGGATGGTGTCCTCTTGTCCTTCTGCAACAGAGCCAGGGGGATGTAGATGAGCACTTGTAGCAGCCCTCCAGCCCCTCTGCAGCTGTGAGGAGCTGGCTCCTGCTCCTTCAGCCTCCCACAACTCAGGGGACACTCCAGGCTGTCCCCATCACTCAGCCCACGGATGTGAAGCATGACGGGCATGCAGTTAGGAGCCCTTGAGCCACTTTAATTATTCATGTCCCAGCTCTGGGTCAAGCTGGCTTTTTCCCTCCCCCACAGCTGCAGGCTCCCAGCCCATTGGGATGCAGTGTCCTCCCTGCAGGTATTTAGAGGACTTTTTGGGGACAAAGGGAGCATCTATTGCAGCTGGATCTATGCTCTTGTATAGGCTTGGGCTCCAGGAGCCATCTATACTACAGGCCTGGCCTCTGGCCATTGCTTCCTGTAGCAGGCACTGAGGATGGGGATCATAATAGACTGGGAACCCACCACCCTGCCTTGGAGCAGAGTCCTGCAGCCAGGAGAGAGCAGTGAAGTAGGCAGGTTCCCTGCCCCTGCTGTCCCTGGCTCCAAGGAGAGAGCTGGCCGCAGCATCTCAGTGTCACCAGCAGGAAGGACCAGCCTCCGAACAGAACCACCACTGGGACAAGACAAGATGGAAGTGCCCAAACATGCACACTCATACAGGGACACACACACGTACATGGGGCAGGACAGCAGGTGGACACACACTTACTGGAACTGCTCTCGCTGTCACTGGTGTTTGATGTCACGCCCTCTGCAAAGCAACCAGAGAGATCCCCTTCAGAAGGAGCATGGGCAGGAGGCATGGGAGCACCCCAGCTGCCACCCAGCACTACTGACCAAGGGCAGTTTTTTGGCCTCCCAAAAAACCTGCAGCCCAGCACCCAGTAGGACGAGTCTGTGCCACAGGGGCAAGGGTGGCACCTTTCACCCTTTGCTGGGAACCCGGGGACATGCAGGGGACTGCTTCCAGGAGAAGACAGGGAGGCCAGGAGGGCCTGTCTGGCAGATGTGAAGGCACTGGGCTTCCCAGGCCAAGGGAAGGTGGAATGCACAGGGAGGAGAATGCAGGGGAGCAGGTGCAGCATGCACACAGCAGGCAGGGGAGGGCACGGCTGTGCTGGCACAGGGATGGGGGAGCCTACCTCTGGGCATGAGGCTGGGATGCACAGAGACAAGACACTGACAGAATGGGACAGAGTTTGGGGCTTTGCTTGCTCAGGCTGATCCTAGTGCTGCGACCACCCCACAGAGGCTTGCTGGCTGCTGCCTGCCCGAGTCAGGCTCTGCATTGGTCGGGGGGTGCAAAGCTTGGCAGGGAACTCAGCCCCAGTTCAGAAGACCATGGGGCTCCTGTCATTATTCTGCAGTTCTGCATATGTGGTAACCCAGAGAAAGGTGGAAACACCTTAAAATGTTGTCACCCATCCCATTCGGAGCAGGTCCATCATGGCCACCTCCCACCCACACTGGCAGTGGCTCCGAATGCTAAAGCAACAACCAACCCAGACAGGAGCAGGAAGAAGAGGATGAGGAGGTGCAGCAGGCACTTAGGGCATGGCCAACACCCCCAGACAGTCTCCCCCATCCCGTCCCACGTGCAGCAGCGGCACCTCAAACCCCACAGCCTGCGCTGGCACACGGGGGGTCCCCAGCAGGGGAGCAGCACCCAGGGCTCCTCCTGCCCAGCGCCCAGGGAAGCACAGCTGCCCCAGCCACTCCCCAGGCACCGCCAGCCACAGAAAGGAATGTGCATCGGAATTCAACTTACTCAGGTTCTTTGCTCCATAATAATCGTCACTTAACCCAGGGAAGTCCTGATTTCACAGACAGCAAGAAGGGGGAGAAGGGGAGAGAAGACAGTGCAGGAAAGGGGAGTCAGAGGGATGGGGAAGACAGAGCCAGACCAGCATTAGTGACAGGAGTGCAGAACGGCCCAGAGCTGCAACTGCAAGTGAGGTTAAATATTTTCAGAGCTGACACCATCAGCCCGCTGCCAACATCTTGCCTTGTGTGGCTGGACCACCTCCACCCCCCAAGCTCACGCTCTCTGCCAAAGAGCCCCCACAGGCCACCCTGGGTGTGGGGAGGGCAGGGCAGCAGCATCAGCTGGCACCAAGCAAATGCAGCCCTGAGCTGCTGGCACAGGGGTTGAAGTGTTTCTCCTCATGGAATGTACTGGCAGGGCACAGTGGCTCTGTGCTTCCCCAACATAACCTGGCCACTCTGGGGCCATGCACAGCACACAGTCCTACAACATGTGGCAGGAGGACACATTTTTCCCCACCTGTGTATGTCAGCTGCCCCACACCACAGTGCTTGCACAGGCTGTGGAAATGTGAGGCAGAGACCCCCCACTGCAAGCTGGGATGGACAGTGGCAGAGCACAAGGAGGGAGCTGGCTGTGTGTCTGTGATGCAGGCAGGTAAAGAGAGCGGCCTGTCCCTTCCCCATGCTGTGTCATCTCACTGCAGGGCAGCCAAAAGCGAGCTCCCAGCTTCAGCATGCATCTCACTGGAGCTCAGCCATGTCCAGGCATTACTAGAGACAGGCAGACACACAGACAACCTTCAGCACGGGCCAGAGGCTTGTGCTGTCATCTGCTGAAATCACCAAAAGCTGGCACCAGCTTGTCATGGGCATAGAAGGGATGCAGGCAGCCCTTGGAGCAGCCCAGCAGCAACCTCCTGCCTCTGTATGACACCCAAGACAGCTCCAGACAGGGGGAATGTGTTTGCTGTGCAGGCACTGGGGCACAGACACAGCTCTGCCTTGCTCTGGAAAGAGGCAGTGGGCACTGCCAGCCTGGATGCTTGCCCAAGGAGGGGATTCAGTTCACCACTCAGAGGAAGGGGTGGGTTTGGTGAGCAGCTCCAGTGCTGCTCATGTCAAGATTCAAGAGGGGCAACAAGATAAACACCCTAACACCCTGCCTTTACTGGGAATCTCGGGGTGGCAAGAGCTGTGTACCCCCAACATCTGCAGCCAACTACTAAAGATGTGCCTCAGTCACGGGTGGGCAGCAGGGTCATGGCTTCCCCGTGCCCACAGAGCTAAATCTGCTAGAAAGGCTCTCCAGTGGGAATGTGGAGCTGTAAGCCACTTTTAGGAATATGGAGCTGGGATCTCCCCAGGCCCTGAGCGGGACAGGAGAAGCTCTGCAGGAGGCAGCCAGCCCCTCACTTGGAGGGAAGCAGGCAGAGGGAGGGAGCAGAGCCTTCAGCAAAGGGGGGAGAGCAGGGAGAGGCAGAGCAGGGAGTTGGGTGGGTTTAAGGTTGGATGAAAAGATGAAGACGTTGAACATGAGAGAAAGGAAGAGTGTGCCAGACTGCAGCTGTTGCTTTCGTTTCAAGCTCCATTTTTGTTCTAGCTGCTGTGCTCTGACTGTGGAGCACAGACCTGAATACAGGCAGGTGCCAGGACCCCTGGCTATGGAAATGTGCTGAATCTCTTCCCTCAGGGCAAGGAACTTGAGGGATGCAGGCTTGCCCTCTCTGGCCAGCTGCTACTTACGTTCCTGTCCGCTGCTCTCCTGGGCCAGGTTCTCTTTGCTCTTGTAAAATGGAAACTTTCGAGAGAGGCGAAAACTCTTTTTACGTTTCGTTTTGATCGACTGAAGAGCATGGAGATGGAAGGGAGGACAGAAAAAACAATGGTGTTTAACGCATGTGGGGAAAATTAAAATGAAGAGACAATGAGGAGCTGTGTCACGGCAGTCACCCTCAAATGAAATCATGGAGATTACATGAGAACTGTAATGCGGGAAAAAAATTAAGCATGGAGAAAAACGTGGTAGGGATGCTGGGAAGCTGATGGGGCAATCAACAGCTCTGCAGGGGTGGCCAGCCTGTTCTTCCTTGCTTGTTGGCATGTTAAGCACTGCTCGTGAGGTGAGAAGGCAGCTACCTTCACCAACTGCCTGCAGGCAGCTCCAAGCCATGAGCTCTGCCACCCCATCACTCCAAACATGGGTCCTTCCCCAGTACTTTCACACCATCCTGTGTTTCTCTGCTCAGTCACTGCATAGTCATGGAGGGTTTGTGCCAAGCAGATGTGGGCCTGGGGCAGGTTCAGTCATATAGCTCTTTGCTTTGGGATTGTTTGAGCTGCCCCATGAGGAGCTTTTGCTGCTGGGACTCATCCTGCCCTCACTAGTTACAAGTTCCAGGTGCCCCACTGAGCCCCAGATCAGCACTTACCCTGTTGGACTCAATCATGCCAGTCCTGGCGTGGAACTTCACTGTTTTCAACCGTGCTCTCTCCTTCTTTTCCACCCTGATCAGGAGAGAAAGAGCCACTAGTCCCATCCACGTGCCCTCCACGCTGCCCACATGGCTCCTCAGGCAGCTCCAGGCACCCTCGGGTGGTACCTCCATTGGCACATGGACGCTCCTTCCCAGGGAGGGTCACATGTGGAGCTGCCTGCCCAGAGTCTGGCCCAGGCCAGTGTCTGCAGGAGCAGGAGAGGAACCAAGCCAGTCTTCCCAACAGGGATAGAGGACAAACTCAAGACTGGCTTTGCACACCTAAAGGCAGCAACAGCCAGCTCCTCTGCTCTCTGTGACTCCACACCTCAAAGCAGGCCCTGGCTACAGAGTTGAGATTGACAGAGGACACAGGGAGCAGCTCTTACTGCTGTGACTTTGCTCTCACATGGAGACCCAGACCTGCTAACACCAACTCCCCATCCCCACAGAGACCACAGAGGGGGCTGACCACTCCCCTCCTCACCTAGAGTCTCACCCAGCTTTGGTGAACACCTTCATAGGGAGACCTGTACACAGACACAGCTTGCAACCAAGGTTCCCTGCACGCTGCACAGGGGCAGGTTGATTGGGACCACAAGGAGATCCCAGCCTGAGCAGAGCCCCGAGGGCTAAAGGGCTCACAGAGTGTGGGGAAATCCTGGGGTCACCAAGTGTGACAGCTCCTGCTGATGGACACTCACCTCTTCTTGCTGGGGATGACTCCGATCTGCTCGCTCTCGCCGTGGGGTGTGACGAGCCTGGCTTGCCACCATTCATCATCAGAGGCATTGATGACGTGCAGGATATCCCCGTAGGAGAAACTGAGTCCCTGGCTGGGCAAGCAACTGTCCCGGGTCCGGTCATAGTCAAACAGGGCTCTGTGGAGGAGCAGAGAGGAGTGATGCCTTCCCTGAGCATGGCCAGGCAGCCAGGGCAGCAGCACTGCCAACCTCCTGGGACACTGAAACCTTCACACCTTAAAAAGTTTAAGTGCAAACCCTGCCAAGGCGAGCAGTGCTGCCAGCCACCAGCACATCCCTCAGCTGGCAGGCTCAGCACAAGCCCTGAAGAATGCAATGCAGGAACAACAGTACTGGACTGAGAGAACTCACTGCTGACCTCAGCTGCAGGATGCACACGAGCCATAGATGCACTGAAAGTGTCTGTGATTAGTGAGCAGGCCAGGCCCATAGCAGCAGCCTGCAGGAGGGCTGCTCCCCACCATCCCTCCGTGGCTGTGGGCCCGAGGAATGGGATGGGGAACATCAGACCCCACTGCTGGTGGGTGGTTGCACAGGCAGAGACCAGTAGACCACTAAGGCATTGAGCATAGCCTTTTTTTATGTACACAACCTGTGAATGAAGAATGCATCTCAGAGCATATATATCTGCTTCCACAACTGATCATTTTCATACCCCTAGACACCTCTCACGAGAACAGTTTATTTAGTTTAAAATTATCTTCGAAATTAAACTAACCAGCTATAGAAAATACTTGGTTTTTTTTACTAGAGGAGCATTAATACTTTACACACACAGCACTGCAGCCTGTACCCATAAGCTGCTCTTGATGGCTTCACTTGCAGCTCTAGTAATGTCAGATCACACAAACTGTGTAATGCTTTGAAGCATCAACATGCAAAAAGACAAAGAAAGAGAAGAGTCATTAAAAGTAGTAGCAGCACAACCTCTGTATTTGCTCCTGAGACACTGGCCCCACTGGCCCCCAGCGTAGCATGAGCCCAGGCACTGCAAACACTGGCTTGCTGCTGGTTTAATCCTGGCCCTAATAAACCTTCTTCAAGCAGGAGAGACATCCTCTGTGCTGCTCATTACCCCTTTCCACTGTGGGGTCTCCAAAGGGGGGTCTAAAAGCACACTCTAAGAGGAAGGGCTGAGGGATCATGTGGCATGTTCCTGTGGAGCAGCAGAGCTTGGAGGGAATTTCTGCCAGGGGAGTGCTGGGCTATGAAACCTTCCAGGGCACTTGGGGCTGGGTCTTGAATGGGAAGAAGGGCTGCCCCATGGGGAAGGCTCTCTGGGACAAGACCCAATCTGCCCGATACATCCAGATTTATTCACACACCAGATCTGCTCTCCTTGCCCAGCTTGCTCAGAGCTGGGGCAGCTCTTGTGCTTGTTCCATCTGCAGGGCAGTGTGGCTGGAGCCGGCAGCAGAGCACCAACGGGTGCTTTGGCCGGGGGTAACCAAGCCTTGCAGGCAGCTCCAGGCCAAAAGATAAGGCTGCATGTGGCTGACAGGCCGCTGTGAGGTCAGTGCTGCTGGCCAAGGCCCTGGGGAACTGGTCGGGCCGGTTCCCAAAGCCAGGCAGGCTGCGAGGAGCCCTGCCCACTGCATGCACCCTGCCCTGCAGAGCAGTGCAGGGCCCATGCTCCTCCTGCAGCCACCAGCATCCCAGGACAGGCACAGCAAGATCTCTGCATGGGCAGGACACCTGCAGAGCCAGCACGTGAGGCACTGGCTGCCCCAAGACACGATGCTCCAGGAGACTGGCCCTGGCTGTGCTGGCATGTAGGGCCCACCATGGCTCGGTGCTCCGGGTGCACAGGGGCCAGATGGCAGATCCGCTCTGTCCCCAGGCCAGCTCACAGCACTCACAGCCAGGAGAGCAGATGGTTTGGCTGGAGGGCAGGGAAGCAGTGCCAAGGACTCCCATGGCTTCCTCCTGGTGCCCAGGCGCAATGCCTGCCTGACCTCCATCCCCACTCAGCACGGCCAAAGTGCTGGCAGACTTTGCCCTGCAGCACTGCAGGGAGGTGACAGGCAGGACGTGAACCTGCTTTGCCCCTGCACTCGCTGCACGAAACTCCAGCACCCCCAAATCAGCTCCAGCCCTCCAACAGCACACAGGATGCAATGCAACCATACAGGGCTGACTCAAGCAGTTGGGTAGCAAGTCCTGTAATTGATGTCCTGTCCACAGTGCAGCAGCTCAGCTGGTTTCGGGTAAACTGTGCTTGAAACTACCCCGCCCAGAAGGGCTGGGGCAGCCTGGGCACCCGGCAGTTCTTCCAAGCACGTTTGCAGGGCGTGTCAAGCAGTGTTGTGAAGGGCCACACTGGGGAAAAGCTCTCCCCTGGGATCACCCTCTCAGCAAGGCACAGCCCAGCTGCACCTGGGTATGTGTAAGGGGACAGAGTGCTGTGGAGGCCTCCAACGCTCTATAGGGGGATGCACCAAGAATTAAGAAATACTACGAGTAGCGTGGAGGCAACAGGGAGCTCTCTGGTTCACAGGAATACTTTGATACATGAACACCTTTCCAGACAGAGAACAGAACAACTCAAGCTGGACCCAGCCTAAACCTTCCTCCACAGATGAGGATGTCCACAGGAAAAAAGTGCAGTGAGGGCAGGACTAACAAGATAATGTTTATTCAACACTGCACCCAGCTTGTCACACATCCCCAGGGAGCCCTGAGATGCTAAATCAAGCAAGATGCCTGCAGAGACTTGTGGGAAGGTGTGAACTGCAGGAACCCAGAGCTGCAGCTCTCCCCTCCTGCCAGGCTTGCAACATATCCACCATGCCTGAAGTCCCTCTGCATGGAGCAGCCATGCAGTGGGAGATGCAGGCTGAGGCTCATGCAGTCTCAGCCCTTACCATCCTTCTCACAGGGAATGAGAAGCAGCATCCCTTGCTCCTGCCAGCCTCACCTGCAACAGGCTGTGCAGGGTGAGGATTTACAGGATTATTAAAAAAAATTTAATAATTAATAATTTAATAAATAATTTAATAAATTATTTTAAGTTAAAATTACTCATTAGCTCTCATCCCACTGGTGCTGTGGCAAGCAAGAGGTGGCAGGGGTTGTCCTGTCTGCACAGGATTTGCAGCAGTTTGAGCTGCATGGCTGTTTAACCCCTGCCTGCCTGTCCTGCACCTGGCTCCAGACCAAAAGTGCTTTGAGGACTCAGAGCAATAATCCTCCTAAGAGCTCATCTCCCATCCAGCCAGATCCTGCCACAGGAATGGCAGGAGACAAGGAGAAGCCTGTTAGCTGGTTTGAGGAGAGTGCCCTGAAAGCTGCCACAAGCTGCCTGGGGCAGAAGCAGGGCTGGATGCTCACCATCTCCCTGTTTTCCACTGATCCTCTGTGTTGGGCTGACCTGCGGCCACCCAGGCTCTGCAGAGACCACTGCTTTCAAACTGGAGCAGTCCTTGGGAAAGACATTCCAGTACCCAGCCTTGACAAGCCAGTGCAACAGCCCCGCTCTCTCTGCTGCACCCTCCAGGTGATGCATCCAGGGCACTGCAAGCCCGGGCTGAACCGTGACCCCCCTGGGCCCAGGCTGCGGGATGTGCCATGTCCCCCGCTCCAGAGCAGAGCAGCAGGCGGGGCGGAGCCTTACCGGACATAGAGCGATCTCTTCTCGCTTGTGCGGAGCGAGCCGGAGCCCGAGCTCATGCTGCTGTTCATCATCTGCTCCCGCAGGTCGTGGATCTTGGACTCGAAGCGGCTGTACTCTGTGGGGACAGGGCTGGTCAGTGCAGGCACGGCTGATCCCCATGCCCAGCCAGGCCTGTCCACAAGGCTCTTGCCCACGAGCTGTCTGTCCCCGCACACAAGGGAGGGCAAAGCTAAAGAGGTTACAGAACTCTGCAGGAGTCCAGGCAGGGCATCTGGAGCAGGCACGGTTCCAGCTGCTCTCAACCTCACCACAACTTCCCACACAGCAGCTCAGGCAAGGGCTGCTGTGACCTTCACTGCTGCTGAGCTGCAGCTCCAGGAGGAAATGGCTGGGCACGACTTGGCTAGCTGCTGACCTACAGAGCAGTTCAAAACACACAGAGAGAACGAGAGCCCCTCCAGGAGACCACTGCCCATCAGCTGGAGCCCTGAGACACGACCACAGCCATTGGGAGAGTCCCCACCCACGGTTTTGCTGGCAGCAAAGACCTTCTCCTCAGCAGGAATGGGGAAAGGGAGGCAAAGCACAAAGTCCCTGCCCTTGGAAGAGGAGCAGGGAGGAGGAATTCACCTTTTGCTTCTACATCTCAGAAGCAGAGACGTGCAGAAAGAGCTGGAGAACGCTCCAGAAGACACCAGCACCTATCCTGCCAGGCGGCTGGACAGGAGCAGCCACCACCCCGGCACCCGCCGCCGCGCCAGCCCGACCTTCAGCCGGTGTAAAGGTCGGGCTGACACACAGAGGGTGGAGGCACCAGGCCTCCCTATCCAGGGCTGAATGAGGAAAGTGCAGTTGTGGCTCCAGTAAAGCTGCTGGCACTGCCACGGCTGCTAGATCTCGCCTCACACCCTGGATTTTGTCCCTTGGGCACATCTTGCAGTTACGGGTGAGAGAGGACCAGGTTCATCTGTCCTGTAAGACTTGCCTAGAAAGTCTTGTCCACAACTGAGTGGTTTAGACGTGGCTTAGGTTTTAATTCTGGGGAGGGGAGCACTGCAGCTCAGCTGTGCTGGGCCTATGGAGCCACATCACATGGGGGGAGCAGCAACACTACTCAGAAATGCTCTGTGGGCTTTGTTCAGGAGCCAGCCCCTCTCCCATGGACCTTCAGTGCAGACAAAAGCTGGGCTGGGGTTACGGGATGATGCAGCTGCAGCTCAGCATTTTCTGACTCTCCAGCCCTACAGCCTGGGTATCCCCCTGCAACACCCAGTTGCCAAAGATACATTTTTACTTAAGGACTGCGGGAAAAATAAAAGGCAATATACACAAAAACTGCTAAGAGGCAAACAAACTCCATGTGAAGCCCCTTCTCCTGCCATGCAACATCTGGAGTTGATTCAACACCAGGCAGGGTCAGCTGCTTAATGAGGAGACCATGAAAACCGCTGGCTGCCCCATGCTAAGGGATACCCACTGCCTTGTCTGCCTTCCTGCTGGCAGAGGGAAACATAGTTGCAGCATGGACACGGCATGGACAACGCTTATTTCACAAGAAAACTGAATTCTGCCACCAAAGCAGCACCAGGATTTTACGCAGCTCTCAGCAGAGGGAAGTGAGCTTCATCCCACTCCACATCTCTTGCCCCACACAGCTCATTCTGCCCTGGAAGAACCATAAGCTCTTGAATCCCAGAGGAGCATCTGCCAGAAGCAGGTCCAGCTTCTTCTTAAACCCTCTTTGACGCAGAAGCGCGGTTTCCCCCAGAAAGCAACACTACAACCCTTGTCCCCAGCCAGGTCACAAACCCTGCTGGGGACCACTGCTCCTGCTACACAGACTCCCACATTCCTCCCACAACACTCTTCTCCACAAGATGTGTTGAGGATGCACTGCCTGGGACTGGACAGGAAACAGGGCAAAAGGAGATTTCTCCACCTTTAGCATCAGGGTGGGGATGTTGGAAGGGCAACTTGTGGGTGCCACGGCCTTGCCAGAAATGGCATACACATCTCCACATCCCATGCATGCAGCCCAAGGGCAAAGTTCTCAAATGCCCCCATTTCAGCTGGGGCACTCAATGGAAAGGGACTTTCCTAGTTTTGCTGGAGTGGCCATGCTGCTTGGAGGCATGGGAAAAGCTCACTGACATGACAAGCACAAACCAGGCTACCCGTGGCAAACTGAAGGACACAGGGGCTGCTCTGAGAGCAAACACAGCCCTGCTCTAGGAAGGGTCTTTCAAAGTGCCACCAACCTTGTGGGAGGGCACAGACTTGAGGAACAGGCAGCCCAAAAGCAAACCTGCTGCCTTCTCCCAGAGCAGGGGAGGCAAAGTTAGCCCAGGACTGAGCACAGGAGCCATGGGCACCCTTTTCCACATTAGAACAGTCTGAGACAATGACCAGAGATCACGCCCAGAAAGCAGTGCTCCTGCCTTTGCTCCCTAACTTACGGCCACCTTGGCTCTGCACCTTGACTCTCTCCCGTGCAGCTGAAACCCTCCCAAAAAGCTTGGCCAGGGTGCAGAGGGGAGGTGAGCCAGAGCTGATCCCCACAGAGTTCAACACGTTCAGGACATGCTTATCAAGACTGAAAAATATGTAACAAATGAGCAGGCACCTCTTGCCGTGAGTGCCATCACGGTGCTGCGCCGTGTGCCAGGATGTTAGCTCTTCTCACTCACCAGTTCGATAAAAACACCACTGTACCCTCCCACTGCTTTTCCCTTTCCAGGGTGTGGGTGTTCCTAGAGCTGGGCCTGATTCTGTCCCCTATGGTGAGCTCCATACTGGGAGTGGAATCCCTGAGTGTGTGCATGCTATAGGCCACTATCAACAGGCAGGGATCACCTGCCTGCCCCAAGGATCCCAGAACCAGCACGTATGTGACACACCTGCAAACACACCCAGCAGAGCCAACAAAGCCGTGGGTCTGCATCTGGGTACCAGGAGACAGCACAAAGGAGAAGGCGTTGGCAGAGAGGAGAGCTACATTGGAAAGCAACTCCTGAGTACACATAAAGCCCTTTATCCAAACACTTCTGCCCAGGCCCAGGCTGGGCCATCAACAGAGCCCAGAAATGCTCAGTAACAGATTTCAGCCTAGCCACTTGCAAAGACAACCAACAGCTTCAGCCCAGCATTTTAGCACCCTGACCCCAGACACCTTCCCTCTGCACAAACACCTCCCTCCACAGGCCTAGGAAAGCAGAAGAAAGCACAGCCATAGGGAAAGCTCAGAAGCTTTTAGAACTCATTGCACAGCCCTGGAACTTCCCTTTAAAGAGACTGACTCAGAGAAAAACCATAATGTGACTTTTTGTATTTTCAGGTGAGGAATGTCAAAGCTTTGTTGCATGGGATGTGAGGAGGGGGAATTGCCAAATCCAAGCGCTGGTGATAGCAGCAGGCAAAGGTCAGGGGGAGAAGCGCTCGGGCCTCACAAAAGCTAAGAGGAGCCATCACTCACTCCCCTGCTCGACAGCAGGCAGCAGAGGTCAAAGGTGCTGGTACTCAGAAGAAAGGCAGGACAGCAGCTCCTCTTTCTAACCTTTCTTGGTTTGGTCTTTGCTTCTTTTCCCTCCTAGTGTCTGGCAGGACAAAACAGGGAGGGCCCTCATCCCCCAGAACCTGCACAAGCAGCCTCTCTTCCCCCTGGAGCCCCAGCAGGGTCAGACACAGAGCACACTGTGCTCATCCAACACCCCAAGGCAAGCCCTGCCCACGCTCAGGTACAAAAGACAGGTGCCATCCTCCACCTCTGCTAGCGGGGAATCCTTCTCAAATCCCTTTTCCACCAGCATCTCCTCCTCTGGCCATCCTACAATCCAGCTCTCCTATTCTTTCCACATGACAAACATAAAAAGGCAAACATTTGAGAGCATGTGGCCCATTGAGTAGGCCCAGCCTCACCCACACCGGGGGCTCACATCAGGGAGAACTTTCTCCATGACTCCCAGCCCTTCAAACCTCTGGAGCACTGAGAACAGCTTCTAGGACACAAGAGCCTGTACTCCACAGCCACAGTGCTGCCTCCCGGGATGGCTGCTGCCCACACGTGCCAGGAACCATCACAGACATGGAAAGTCACCAGTGACAACATATTGACATTTCTGCCTCAGTTTAAGGGGCTTTTAAAACATCTTGTCCAGTTTGACATTTAAGAACCACTCTTGGTTGGTGTCTTTGCCAAATCTCAAGTGGCAGAGAGAGCCAGAAATATGAGAACATTAAGCGCTTCCTGGAAAGAAAGAAAAACAAAACAAACAAACCCCACACCCACAGCACAACTCAGAGCAGCATCAATGACTCTGCGCCCCAATGGCCTTTGCCATGGGATGGAGGAACAGTGGAGACAGGGACCAGCAGGACTTTGCCCAGTGATGGCACAGAGGAGACACAAGACGAAGGGCATGCCTCAGGTGAGACATCGGCCTTCTTGGAGAGGACTAGAACAGCTGGTGGAGAAAGCCAGCGGGGCCCAGGAGAGACACGTTTTCCAGCGGACGGGAACGGCTGCATCCCAGCACGTGCAAGGCGCCTTTCTGGGAGCCCCGGGACCAGCCCCGGGACCTCGCTGGCTGGCGGGGCACCCAAACAGCGCTCGTCCTCCCAGCCCACGGGCCACGCTCCAGCGCTACCGCCCGGGGAAGCTTTGTGCAGGCAGCTGCCCGCTCCCTTCCCGCTACCCCAGCTGCTCAGCCCGGGACCACCAGCCCCCGTCACTGCCGGAACCCAGCGATAACGAAAGGCTCGGGGTGGCGCCGCAGGTGGGATGCTCAGAGGTGGGGACTCAGCAGCGACGCCCCGGTTCCAGCCCCGTCCGCACTATAGTCGCCCTCCAGGACCCCTGAGCTCTCCCGACTACGGGGTCCCTCCAGCAAAGCCCGTGGGACTCCACGGAGCCGGGCCTCGCGGCGACGCCCTCCGGCAAGAAGAGCTCTTTCCCCTCCCCCGAAGATGACCCCGTCCCGTCGAGCCCCCCCTTGGCCCCGCTGCCGGCGGGGTCCCGGCCGGGCTGCCCGTGCGGCGGTGGGCGCTCACCTGCAGACGGGGCGGCCACGGCCACGGCCCCGCACCCGCCCGGCCCGCACACAAAGCGGCGCAGGCACGGCCGGCGGGACGCCGCGGCACCCCGCCCCCGGGCCCCGCCCCTCCGGCGGCGCCTCGCCCGCAGCCCCCCGGCCCGGCCTCCCTGTCCGCGCGCCGGCCACCGCCCCGCCCCTCATCTGCATAACCACACCCATCATCAACATAAACACACACCTCATCTACATCCAACACCCCTCATTTACATAACCATACCCCTCATCCACATCCTTCATCTGCATAACAACACACTCATCTCCATAACCACACCCCTCACCCGCATATACCCACCCCTCATCTACATAACCACATCCCTCATCTGCATGCCCCGCCCGCCCTGGTCCCGGTCGCGGTGGCCCGTGGCGGTACCTTCGGGCCGGTACTGCGCGATGATGGTCACCGTCTGCCCCGCCCTCTTCAGCGCCGCCGCCGCCTGCTCGTGGGTGGCGTTGCGAAGGTTCACGCCGTTCACCTGCGGGACAGAGCGGCTCCGCTGAACCAGACCGATGCGGACACGAATCGAGGGGCTCTGCCCCGTCTCTCTACCGAGACCCACGGTACCCACACTCCCAGAGCCTCATCACTCTGCCACTGTATCCCCAGCACCGCGCCTGCTACTGGCATTTCCAATACCGGCATTCCCGGTAGTAGCCAGTACCTGCCCCCGGGAAGCCCAGGCATCAGGGCTGTCCCCACAGCGGGGTCACCCGGGGGCACACCCCGGTGTCAACACACCGGCATCCGGGATGAATCGCACAGAACTGTGCTTCGGGTCGCAGGGGACAGGGGCCCACCCGGGGTTGTCGGAGGCCATGAAGGGGTAGTGGGTGCTGCACCAACTCACCGAAAGGATACGGTCTCCCCTCCGCAGCTCCCCACTGAGGTCAGCAGGGCCTCCAGCCAGGATGAAGGACACAAAGATCCCCTCGCCATCTTCCCCTCCAACAATGTTGAAGCCCAGGCCGGTGGAGCCTTTGTGCAGGATGATTTTCCGGGGCTCCCTGGAAGGACACATGAGGGACACGGAGACATCAGGGTGAGGAGCAGTAAAGCTGGTGACAGGCTTTTCTGTGCCCAGGGTTCGTGGCACACTGGTGGGGCTGGAATCACCCGAGTGCAGTCTGGTGTGACTCAGCCCTCAGCACCGTGGAGACAGATAAACTAGAAGAGGTACAGTCAGTGTGACATGAGACACAGCATGGACAGACACAGAGCTGTCATTCAATGTGAAATGACACACAGAAACACTGAACTGCATGATGGTTATCAGATGCCATGAGCCAGAAGAGTGGGATGAAGCCCCTCCACAGCATGGAAAGTGTGCCTACACCCCCCATGCACCTCTCCAATGTCACAGACCCTGCACAGCTCAACAGAACTAAATTTTTTGATGATGACTTAATTCTATCACAGCTCAAACAATAGGCAGGCAAAAGCAGGAAGATGGCCTGGCATCGCAAAACCCCTGTGTCCATTTTTGTCTGGGAGAAAAAAAACGTGATAAGGAACAATGGCAACTCCCAGCTCAAACTCTGGATTAAAATAAGGAATAAATGATGCCAGACAATTAGCATAGGCTGGTGGCGATTGTCAGCCAACATGATACTGGAGACCATTAGTGCATCTGCTGTGGCTGGATCCTGGGCATTTCCTCGGGTACCACAAGGACCAATGGCCTGACATTGAGCTCAGCGGCCTGATCAACCACTCACCTGCCAGGTATCAGAGGGAAATCTCTGGGTTGTGTTAGGAGAGATGCTGGAGCCCAGGCATGGCACTGAGTGAGGACACCCTAAAATCCTGGCAAACTTGTGCTAAGAGGATCCTGGGGCACTGGGATGGGGGGACTGAAACACACCAGAACCAGGAGATCAGGAAAACCGTGGAAATGCTTAGTTAAAAGATGCCCAACCCCAAGTCCGCAAGATGTTACCAGTGCGTGGCTTAGGGGTGGTTGTGAGGGGGCAGGGAGGGCTGCAACCATCAGTCCCTCTGCAGCAAAGTTGTGCCTAGGGCTAGAGTTCTGTCAGGGGAAGAAATAGGTCAGGTTTCTGGGTCTGCAAACCCTGCCTCCAACCAGGAGATGAACTTGCTCTGCCCCTTGGTTTTGCTGCTGCCCAAGCTGTGTGCAGGAAGCACAACCTCAATTCAGAGTTGGGAGGAGCATCCTCAGCACCCATGAGGACCAGATAGTTTGGCGGAAGGTAAAGAGACCCAACAAGAATAAGGAGAGGAAATGAAGCCCCAGACAGGTACATCACAGGTCTCAGTCATGATGTGCACTCTTGGCTTCCATCCTCCTCACAGGAGGCATGACACAGCTCCTCCAGGCAGATCCCATCTGAATGTCACAGTTAGCACTGGGAGCTCAGCACAGAGCAGCTGAAGGGATTCTCAGGGGCTGTGCTGGGTCTGGGATGCAGTGATGGAGCTCACTGGAAAACAGATTCTTTGGTTCCCAGCCCTAGGTGTTGCAGGACATGAGGGTCACTGGACATCTAAGCAGCACTTGTGCCCATGGAAAGGGGAGAGTCTGGATACTGAACCTCTGCTTTCCCTAAGGAATGGCAGGCAAGAGCCTCATGGGAGACAGTTTCTTTTCCAGGGCACCTGCTGCCTTTCCCCACACCAGTAAGATGCATTTGGACCACAATGGTCCCAGTACACAATCTTGGTGCCAACAGACCTGCAGCGATGACACTGTCCTGGGGGGTCAAGGATGCACACGAGGCTTTCAGCACTGTCCTGGGAAGCATGAGGGAAGTACTGAGCCCACTGCAGGCTGCGGATCTGTTGGGTAGCAAGGGGCTTTGTCTGCAAACAAGGGGCCAGTGGTGCCAGCTTGTCTGCAGTGGGGCCCTCCACAAGGCAGCACCATCCTCTAGTGGCCACCAGCACGTGCTGCACCAGGGCCACTGCGGAGCCATGACTGTGCTTTGCCACAACTGAGCCACTGCAGTGCCATCATTGTGGCACTGCCACTGCCAAGCCAATACTGAGCCACTGCACTACCATCACTGTGCCATTGCCACTTCCAAGCCACAGCTGAGCCACTGCTGGGCCATCACTGTGCCACTGCCGAGCCATCGCTGAGCCCTCATTGTGCCACTGCCACTGGCTGTGGCCTGCCTAAGCTGGGTTGCTCTTTCTGCTCTCTAGTCCACAAATGTGAATGTTGGCACATGTAAGAAGGGACACCCTGCTGGGACCAGGGTCTCTCGTGTGTTTTCCAAATATTGGGACTCAGTCCCTTCTGTGGTGCACTGTAATGGCATACAGCGCGGCTCCTGCCTGTGGCATCATCCCCCAGTGCCCTGACAACACAGAAGTCGCTACATCTGGTGAGGATGCAGTGCCAGAACCAGGCTCTAGAACTGGCATCAGTGGTACCAACACCAGTGGGAGAGATGGAGTGCGAGTGGAAAGCAGTGCTGCACAGGTCACGGCAGGCAGAGACATCCAGCTGTGCTTGGCTGAGCACCAAGAAGTGAGAAAGCCCCGTGACAAAGGTGAGTGCAGACACTCTCCAGGATGATGGCAGACCTAACAGCAGATGGCAAGTCAGGGTCTCCTGCTCCAGCATTCACCACTGGCCTGCAGAACTGGAGAATCCTGGACAAAGCTACTGCATCTTCCACTGTAGACACACTTCCAAAAACAGCCTGCAACCTTGTTCCAAACAGCAGAGCTATCCCTAAGCCTAAGTCGAATGTTGGTCCTTAGAAATCAGCCTAAGCCCTACAGTCCTGGCCCTGGGGATAGCACATTCAGAGAACTGGCCCCAGGGCTGTGACAAGAAGAGGGTAAGCTGTAAGAATCAGCTAGCAGAGCAGGACTTTCTAGGTCTCACTCTCCTACCCTCAGCTTGAGGCTTTGGAGAAGTTTTATATCGCATTTAGGCTCAGAGCAATGTTTTCTTTGCGCTCCTCTTTTATTTCCTGGGTTCAGGGAACAAACCTCTTCAGGCAGCATAAAGGATTCTACTGGGGCAAAGGGGGCTGTGCCAGGACTGGATAGGAGGCTGTCAGGCCAGCAGCTGGCAGTCATCGAAATTGCACCTGAGTGCAGGTGGTTTGGGATGCCAGTCTCAGGGGGTGTGGGAGGGGCCCCACTTGTTTGCAAGGCTGTGCTCCCCCTGGCCCTTCACCCCCAGCACAGCTCCACCTGGGGACATCCTGGGAGCCTGTGGCACTGCTGGATGGCACCATAAGGGCAGGGAACATCTTGTATTCCAGGTATTGTAAAATAAGAATGAAGCTGAAATGCAGTTGTGTAAGGCTTGTGAAAGAGTAGGAGAGGGAATGGAGAGGGAGTGAATGCAGCAAGCCAGAGACTGACACAGCAGGACTGGTCTCAGGGCACAGAGCTCATAACGGGGTCCTCGAGCATTGCACCATGCACCTACAAATGGCCTTTCGAGGCTCTGCACTGGCAGTGGGGATGATGTCAAGCCACCACAGAGGGAATGAGAAGTGAGGGAGTGAAAAGGAGCATGATGAGGATGCTCATGCCTGATACTCACCTGGTGAAGTCATCGTCTCCAATCATGTGCCGAGGGATAGGCGAGTACCGGGACGGAGTCACCTGGGGAGGGATGGTATAGGCAGGCTTGCTCTCAACGCTGCCCAGGTAGCCCAGACTGGAGTTATGGCTTATGTGGTTGTCAGCCAAGGCTGAGAAGGCTGCAGGGGAGGAGAAGGTCATCAGGAGCAGAAATGCATTTACAATGAAGGCATGGAGACCAGCCCAGCCCTGCTCCCCACCCCAAGACGCTCAGGTGCCCCACAGCCCCGCGTGCCCAGGCAGTGGCCAGTGGTGTACGTACTGCTGGCGTAGTCGGGGGGCGCGTACATGTCGTTGAGGTGGATGTTGCCGGGCTTGGCCACTTTCAAGTACACCATGTCAGAGGTGTTCTTCAGGGCGGCCACTGCCTCCTCGTGCCGCACGTCCTGCAGGTTTGTGTTATTCACCTGCCAGAGGGAAAGGGTTGGATGACACAGCTGAGCAGGAGGGCAGGGACCAGTGCAGCCCTGCAGGAGTGGTTTTCCATAGGGGAGGTGCCACGGTAGCTCCAGAGGCATGGTCTCATCGCCTTGGGTTTGGCCCTCCAGTCTGCAGCCATTACTATGCCTGCCCTCCCACAGCAACATCCCAGCAGGAGTCCCAGGGAAGAGGGTTGAAGCTGCTGACAGGATGAGTGCTGGGGTTCAGGATCAACACTGCATCACAGTGGAACCTGTTCAGCTTCACCTCACAGCTGGCTGTGGTCATGGGGCTTACCGCAAGCAGCCGGTCCCCAATCTGCAAGCGCCCGTCCTTCTGGGCAGCACCTCCCTCGATGATCTTGGTGATGTAGATGCTGTTGTCCCCAGGGATGTGCTGGTTCCCAATGCCCCCTGCAATGCTGAACCCCAGGCCTGAGGGAGAGTGAGAATGCAAGTGAGGGACAGACAGATTGACAGAGTCCTGAGCTGGCACCACAGCCCTTGTACCTCACTGGGCTTGGCACCCTGCCCAGACTCAGTAGGCAATGGGCCACCCCGCTGCTGCCTGGGGCCAGCCTGGCCACCATGCACTGCACTGTGGGTCTGTCCCATGCCCCGTGCCCCACAGCATTCCACACTGCTGGGCCACCCTGCAGCATCCCACACTATGTCAGTGCCACCTTGCATCCCACATCCCCCGTGAGGCTGCCCCGCATCTCATGACATCTCACACCAAGGAGTCATCACACACTGTCCTGTGGGGCAGTGGGGCACCCTGGCCAAGCGAGCAGAGTGAAGGGTTCACCTTTGGGGCCCTTCATCAGGTTAACCTCCATGATGGTCTCTGGCGGGGGCTGCCGGCGGCGCACCACGAGCCGCACCACGGGGCCTGCTTCCTTCAGGGCCTCCACAGCTTTGCTGTGCACAACCTCAGAGACATCCACGTCGTTCACCCGCAGCACGCAGTCGTTCACCCTGTGGGCACAGGATGACCCTGAGCATCCCTGGGGAACTACCAGCCCATGCCACCCTCCTCCAGACACACAAATGAGGATTGCTCAGGCTGGCCAGATATGCCCTGCTGGGGTGAGAAAGAGGTCCCTCCCAAAGCAGGGGAGAGTGGAGCTGGTCCCTATAGTTCGATCCTGATAGAGATGGGAGATGAGAAGGAAGGCTGGATCCCTGCCCTGGGCTGTAGTAGGATGGATGGGAGCAGTAGCCTGATACAGGGAGGGGAGGATGGGTGGCTACAGACAGGAGGCTGGTGGTGAGGGACAGTGGACATCCCTGGCCCGAGGGGATCTTGCTGTGGGGAAGGAGGAGGGACCACGTTGGGAAAAGGGTTTAGGCCTAGAGGGTCCATGCAGAGATCCTGGGTGACACCCTGGCTGCTCCCTCAGCCCTGTACTCTACTCACCCTAGACGGCCATCCATGGCTGCCGCTCCCCCGGGGATGATCTTGGTGATGAAGATACCCGGGTCATCTGGAACGTGGGGGTTGTCGATGCCTCCTGCTATGCTGAAGCCGAGGCCAGAGTTACCCTGTGGGAAATCAAACGCCGCGTCTTTTACCCATGGGCAACCGCTTGCTGCAAGCCCTCCTTAAATGGTTCCCCCCAACCGCGGGACTGCCTGGGGCGCAGAAGCCCTTACAGAATCTAGCACACCCCAGGGTGCCCGGCTCAGGGGCAGAGGGATGCTGGCCAGAGGAGAGGCTGGCGTTCCTCAGCTGAGTGCTCAGCGCAGCAGCGTGGAGCACTGAACAGATGGAGTGGGAGAGTGGGAGCCGCCGAGGACCTCCCTCACCACCGCGTCTCCACGGAGAGACTAAGGCAGGCGGGGAGCTGGGGAAGAGGAGGTGGTCCTTGGCGGAGAAAACCTCCCCTTGCTGTCTGCTCCCCAGGAGGAGACACCGATGCCGCAGCATGAACAGACCAGTGGGGATTGCACCAGTCACCAGCATCCCACTCCTGCCCTCTGCATCCTCGGATGTAGCCCTGGCACAGAGCCAAGCTGAGGACATCAGCAACACTTATGCCAGAATTTACATGTTTGGGTGAAGGTGGCTATCAGGATGGAGTGGGCTCTCCAGTTCTGTCTCCTTTTCCTTGCAGACATGCTTGGAGCATCACTTGAGCTTCTCCTGCCGAATTTTGCCTGAGGGGAGTGCAGGGACCACAGCTCATCTCCAGGCCATTTCCCGAGCATCTCAGGATTGAGTAGCTTTGGCCCTGTGCCACCTCTCCCACTTGCAGGATCCTCATTAGTGACACACTCACAGGCCTTCCAAATCCATGCTTGATGCAAGTGGACAATTCCTGCCTTTTTTGCTCTGCCTTGAAAATCAGATGGCTTCTCGCCTTGTTCCCTCATGTGGAAGAGCTGACACGTAGTCACATACTATTGTGCCTGCCTCTCTCGTATATGAGCGGGCTTGGGCCAAGCTCTCCTGGCTGCCCATGGCCCCAGTGCTCAGTGGGAGATGACGGGGTGCTCTGTTCTTCCATGGGACCTATGGCTGAGAGGGCCATATTGGAACTCTGTCTGCCAGAATAATTTAGCACCTACAGCCAGCTAGGGCTTGCACTTCTCCCCAGCCATTTTTCCCCAGCATTAGCTCCTGCAGCAATGTAGAGCTGGCTTTATGACACTCATGACAAAGCACCAGGAGCCACCAATGCCTGTCACTGCGCAGAGCTCCTGGAAGCTCTCTGGCCAGCTGGGATTTGGCTGGCATGTGACACAGAGGCATTCAACGGTAAAGGGTCTGAGGCTGCTCTCTTTCCTCTATGATGGGTTCTGATTACCCTGTGCCTAGCTCAAAAAAACTTCTTACTGTCAGAGAGACCAAGCCTGGCCGCAGCAAGGCAGGTGAGATTGCAAAATTATCTCCAGCCACTCCTTGTGCCTGTCTATGGAAGTTCCTTGGTTAGCTACTAAACCTGGAAATTATCTGGGAGGTGTTAATTTTTATTTTGATAAACCTCAAAAAGGAGTTCAAGGGATTTCTTAGCTGACATCAGGATTGATGCCAGGGCAGCTCCGGCTGCGGACATGTGTGGTGGGTAAACAGAAAGCCACGTCCCTTTGCAGATTGTGTTTCTGCTATTATTGCCCCAAAAATGCTGCTGCATTTATGCTCATCTTTACAACAAAGACAAGGATTAATAACAGTGACTGACCAGCGATTTTGGGGTACACTGAGGTCAATTCTGGAAGCCAAACACCCCAGCAGGGGGACAGCCTCACCTGCAGGCACCAGGGTACTTCTCCTGCATTAGGATAGGATTGTTGGATCCCACGAGGGACCAGGTGAAGGGGAAGGACCTGGGTATGGTCCATGCTTGCTAGCACAGGCTGCTAAGCAGTGAGATTCCCTCATGGTTTCTTGCTGGTGGAGAATGAATTGATGCTTGGGGCTTTGAAATGGGGGCATCAATAAATGTTGCCTCTCTGTGTGGTCCTGCCAGCTCTTCCCCTGTTCCCCCTATGAGCTGAGGACAGAAGATGCTCTGAATCCCTGAAACAAGGCTTTTGCCTGTGACTTGGGCCCGGAGCAAGAAGCACTTAGCCCAAAAAGAAGGGAACCTCTGGGCTGGTTTCGTCAGGCACGCCAGGGAAGCGGTGGGTGAGGCGGCAGCCCCAGATAACCTTCCGTCCACCCACCTCGGTGATGCAGAGCCAAGGGAAGGAGGGAGATGACTAAAGGCAGAGAGAAACAGAATAATGAGCGATGCGTCTTCCCCTGTAATGCTGGCCACGCGGCGAGGCTGAGCCGCCTGGCACGGCAGTGAGGGGGAGGCAAGGTGTGCTGTGGAGAGCTGCGGGCAGCCTCCCACCACAGCCATTCCCAGCCAGCAGGGCTGGGCCTGTCTCTCAGAGTAAACCCTAGGCTAGCGTTTCCCTCTCCATCCCTCCTCCCCTGCTGCTTCCTGGGCAACAAGAAGGCCCTTCATGCCCTATGTGCTGCTGGCTTGCCTCTGGATTAATCCCATACATGAGGGGAGCTAATTCTAGCCATGGCTGGTGTGGCACATGCCATCACCTCTGTGTTGCCAACAAGGAAAAGACTTGAACAGGAACTTCCTCCATTGTGGTTTTGTGGTTTGTTTTACTAAATAACCTGTTCTTGCAGCTTAGCATCCCAAGGCTGTGTGCCCTAGAGTGATGGGGAGTCTGGTGGCAGGGTGGCTATGGTCCCTGTGTCCAGCTGTGGGGTGCACCCACCTGTGTCTGCACAAGCAGAGCTCCCCACACCTCTGCTTTCTGACAAAGGCAATGACAAAGAGCCTCCCAACAAGTTTGGAACTGATGTGTTTGTGGGGGAGAGGGTGTGAAGGAGGGAGGCAAGAGAGAAGTCTTCTTCCCTCCCTTCTGGAGGGGTGTGCAGGGGGAGAGGGGAGCAGCAAGCCCATCCTGGTGGGAGCCAAGGCTGGCAAAGCAGGTGCAACACCCGTGAAAGCCTCCAGAGAGAGCGGGGAGCAGAGACCAACCTCTCCCCATCAGCTGTGCAGGGATGCATGGGGGCCCAGCTGTGCCGCGGGTGGGCGAGTGGGAGGAGGCTGCTGGTGGGTGAGTAAGGAGTACTTACCCTTTCCAAGACGATCTCTTCATATTTGAACATCCCATCACTGCCATTCATCTGGAGAAAGGGAGACAGCGTGTTACGACTCTCTGCTGGTCCTGGGGGAATTTGTTTTTCCTCTCTGATAGCTGAACATGAAGAATCCAACCTAAAAGCTGCACCATCACCGCCGAAAAAACCTTAAATGCAACTGCTTGGGCCTGCCCTGGAATTAAACCATGTGCTGCTTTTCTCTCTGGGCATGAGCCAAAGCCCACTGACTTTAATGCACTTCTGTGCAAAGCTTTTATTCTCCCAGCTCATTTCTCCAGCCATGAAAAGGAACACAACCGAAGGCACAAAAAGAAATAACACCTTTGTTACGCAGCATATAATTAACCTCAGGAATTCACTGCTTGAGGAAAGGAAGAGAGGGGGTCGGTCCATTTAAAGGGAAAGAAAATGTCTGTACATAATAACATAATAAACACCTTTAACAGCTTATATTTTTTAAATCTTTTCGTAGCATGACTGTATTAACAGGAAATTCAGAATAATTTTTCTATAAAATTAGTTGGGTGCCAAGGAAATTAGTTGGTGTGAGAGAGTGGAGCACAGTAAGAGGTGAAAACATTGTGATGCCCTTATATACAAAAATGGTGTAGAGCTTGTCTCAGTGCTGTACACCACACTGATCCCCACGCTTAAAAGTCTCCTATACCCAAAGTATCAAAGCAGAGCTCTTGGAAACATAATGAATAGAAACAAAAAAGGATGCAATTGTAGGCTGCAAAATGGTAAATATAAACTTAAAAAAAAAAAATCCATTTTCCTCATAATCAACAATGCACAGGAAAATTGCAGCAGTTTCACTCCAGATTATCAGGATCAGGCCAGAAACAGCTACCAAGGTCTAAAATTTAGCAAGATTTGAAATGTAATTGGCTACTGAAACATCCAATAGTTAACAGCAACAGTTTCAAAGAAAACTGAGTGGAAGGGAACCTAAAGAGTCATGGAATCCAACTCCTGGCCCTGCACAGTCCTCCCAAAAATCCCACCATGAGTTGTCCAAATACTCCTTCAGTTCTGGCAGCCTTGGGGCCATGACCAATCCCTGGGGAGCCTGTTCAGTGCCCCACCACTCTCTGTGTGAAAAACCTTGTCCTAATGTCCAACCTCCCCTGGCACAGCCCTTCCCTCAGGTCCTGTCACTGAGAACCTGAGAGAAGAGATCAGCATCTGCTCCTCATGAGGAAGCTGTAAACTGTGGTGAAGTCTGTCCTCAGTCTCCTCTTCTCCAGGCTGAATAAGCCAAGCCACCTCACTCTTTGCTGGTATGGTCTCCTATAGATCGAAGGAGATCTATAGGAGGCTACTACCTTTGTAGCCTCCTTTGGACGCTCTCTAACAGCTTTATATAATTTTATTGTAGCCCCAGGACTCGAGGTGAGGTTGCCCCCAGTGGGAGCAGAGCTGGACAATCCATCCCTTGCCCATCAGCTGATGCTGTCCCTGCTGCACTCCAGGCCAAGGTTGACTTTTTGGCTACTAGGGCACACTGTTGACTCAAATTTGTTTTGGAGGGGACTGAACTCAACCTCATAATTTGAGTCATTCTGGGAAACAAGGGATAGGACATGGGTAGTTCTGTATGACAAGGCAGAGGCAGTGGAACCCTGGACTAAGCAGGCAAACATCTCTCTCACTGTGCAGTCCTGCCTCTGCCTCTGGCCTCAGGACAACATGCAGGGTTCCTCATTTGGATTTTACATCCATCATTAACTGATGGCTCATAGATTGTAGGGAGCCACTTTCTGTATATGCTCTGTATCCTAAACTGGAGTTGACATTTCTTTGTTTGGACACAGTTCTCCTTGTGGGGCACAAGCATGCTGGCTGTGTCCTGCTTTCCCAGCTTTTTGCTATCTGCCTCTGAAAGGCACAGCCCTGCCATCCTCCACACCCCCACAGTTCTGGGTCATCCCATGGAGGGGATAGCAACCACCATTTATGCTAAAGCCATCATCTGACACCACAGAAGAAAACCCAGCGAGGCAAGGGTGAGGCTCTATTGATAGGTAGGAAGAGGAAACAGGAGTTTTTCTAGGTGGAAACCATCGGGGGCCCAGGCAGAGGAGCAGTTCTGCAGGACAGGATCTGGGATAGGGCTGTGCCATCTGTGATACACACCCCCTCATCCTCTGCCCTGGGAGGCCAAAGCAATCCCACACCCTGTACTGCGCTTCAAGGATGGGCAAAGAGATGGGAATGAGGCTCCAGGGAACACAGGCTTAGCGTGTTGTCCCTTCTTGGATGTGCTCTGTGCCTGTACCTCTCAGCCACAGAAGATTTCAGGGGACAGTTCAAGGTTGGGACATCCAGATACTCCAATAGTAGGATGCTCAGATCCTCCCAGCACATCGGGAGAGGCCTTGGCCAGCTCTTACAGGAGGATCTTGCAGCCGAAAAGCACCGGTGTGGTGGGATTAACCCACAGCAGGGTCCCTGACAGCCTCAGAGGCTCAGGGACATATGGTCAGCGCCACCTTCTGCCACAGTGCCGCCGTGTGCTGTGCTCCTGCGGGCAGAGGGGCACTGCTTCCCTTGCCACAGCTCCCTCCTCCGGCATGGGACAGATTTTCCCTCCTCTCATCTTCCCATACTGACTAATCCTAAATGCAGCCCAGCTCGCTGGCCTGTGCCGCCCTCAGAGCCCAGCTCAGCACAGCCCTGCTCAGCACGGCCCAGCTCAGCATGGCCCAGCTCAACAGAGCCCTGCTCAGCATGGTACAGCTCAGCACGGCCCAGCTCAACAGAGCCCCGCTCAGCACAGCCTGGCCCATCCCCTCTCTGCAGTTGGCATCCCGGTGCGTGGGGCGCAGCATCGCCTTTCCCCAGCTTTCCAGCAACTCAGATTCCTGGCACCCTATGCTACTACACACATTGTCCTCCCTGCTTTGGCATTGAACACAGTTGCCACACAGCCAGCCATATGCACACCCACGGCCGCAGAGGAACAGCGTACACATCCCTCCAGGATGGGATCTGCAGAAAACTCTGACAATCTGTGAGCCGTGGTGAGAGCCAGCGCTCGGGGGCCCTGCCGAGGAGCGACCGCTGCCAGGGGAGTGCTGACACCGCAGCACACAGACCCTGTCAGACACTCCAGGTGAGATGGGACAGCCCCGCTCCCCAAATCCCTGGGCTGCCAATGCTGAGCAGTGTTTTCCATGCTCCTGGAAAACCGGCGGTGTAGGTGCTTGCTTGATGCTTGGTGCAGAGCCTGCGCTGGCCAGGCATGCTAGGGTCAGCCAGGCCTGACCATGAAGTTTTAGCTCTGATTATGTTTCCGAAATTCACGCAATGGAACGCCAGTTAATTGTATAAGGAAGCCAAATAAAGAACCTAATATATACCACGTAACCAAGGGAACAAGCCAACAAAATGAACGTTCCAGTGCTGGAAAATCAAATATACCAGTCACTAATGGCAAAAACCTCCCCATGATACCTGCCAGATCTGCCAGGACCTGGCTCTGTTAAAGGTTGCTCTCCCTATCCTTTGCCAGTGTCCTGTGCTTCTCTCCAGACCCTGTTTGGGGCCATCTCCAGTGGGAAGATGCCTGGCTCCATCACTTCCAGGGTGGGAGAGCACACCACACCCTGCTCTCCTCTCCTTGTCTAACACCTGCAGAGCTGACAGCAGTGTTAGGGGCTAATTAGCTGTTTCCAGCATATCCTGATCCTAAGCATCACCTGTTTTCTCATGGAAAAGAGTATTTTTTTCCAGGCCTTCCCATGCAACAAGCCCACCTGAGGGCTCAGGAAGAGGTGCCTTTACTGGCCCTCTCCTGTTTAGAGCAGGAGAGAAATAGTTACTGATGACGGCATTTAGCTCATCAACAGAAGGCTGCAGAGTTAACACTCATTTGATAAACAGAAGAGCACACACCTTCCAGAGCTACTGCAAGCTGTCTGCAGGATCTGCTGTCCAACATAACAGCCCACGTGGAACACCCCTTGGAATTTGCTACAGCAAGGATTTGAGGTGGGTTTTTTTGGGTAGGACGTGGGTTGGCTGGTTTTTTTTGTTTTTTTTTTTTTTTTTTTTTTTTTTTTGGTTTTGCTTGTTTGCTTGTTTTTTAAATAAAAAAGAAGGCCAGATTTAGAGGACAAAGATCAGGTTCCTCAAATGCAACCCAGATAGCTAACCAGGCTGCAAGAGGAAATAACCTGCAGGAAGGATAACACTGCTCACAGTCCCTTTTGGAACAGGATCCTGCTCATATTCTGTGCTTAGGATGTGATGAGGATGAGCACTGAGAACTGCTGGTGGAGCAGCCATTTATCGAGGTAATGGAAAGGGTCTGAAGACTAGAGAGCCAGCCCTTGGTTGTGCCAGCCAGCCCTGGGTGTGGAAGGCATCTGGCAATGCCCCACACCTGTCCCAGCACAGGGGAAAGGGGAGCAGCCCTGTGCCAGGATAGCAGGTGCAATGGGCACCTCCCTGCTGGCACGGGCACTGCCAGTGCTGGCACAGGAGAGCTCTCCCTGCCTGCACATGGCAGGGGGCCCAGGGAAAATAGGTCAAGAGCTCCCTCCTGTCACCTCCGCATGTCCGTGTGTCCTGCCGCAGCACTGAGACCTACTGACTCGCTTCCAGCTACCCCCTGGCCTCAACATCCTCGTGTGCACTGCCCATGGTGCTGGCTTTGTGCACAGAATGAATAAATGCCCTAGTTCTGGTCAGCCTTCTGCCAGAGGGCTGTGGGGACCAACCTGCTGAGCCTGGGCAGAGTAAGGGGTTTACAGCCTGACAGTACAGCCACAGCTGGGAGAACACTACAGCCAGGTTGCCTGCAGGAACTGGCACTGGAATGTGCCCCAGACAGCAGTTGGCAAAGAGTGAGGGACTCAGTGGCTCAGATCGAGCCTGGAAGTAGCTGTCTTCCTCACATCTGGCTTTTAAGCGACTGAAGAGGTGATTGCATGAGGCACCAAAACAGACTCCAAGGACCCAGACTCTGAAACCTTCAACACCTCAAGGGCTTTGGATTGACTTTCCCTGATCATTTTGGGACTGCCTGCCAGCAAGAAGTTGTTTTAGCTTCAGAGAGGTAGCTCTGAAATGCAGAGACCTCATCTGCCATGGAAATTCTGTTTCCAATTCTCCATCTCCCCATTATAGACGTGCTGGGCAGAATACGCCAAGATGTGAAACTGTGAGCAAAGACCTGGAGCTGGCATGGGTGATGCCCTCCAGCACTCTCCTTACCCTTAAAGGGATAATTTTAATACTGCAGGCATTTTACCATGGATTATTTGGATTTTTACACCCTGGGGTGCTGGGCTCTCTCAAGCCACACACTGAGCCCCAGCCATCCCAGTGCTGCAGCTCCTACCTTACAGTGCTACTGGTGCTACGTGCTCCTGGGGATGGACGTGGGTGGATGGGGACATTGAAATGCAGAACAGACTTCTTGATAAACAGTCGGGCCAAATCCAGCCCAGCAGCCAGTCCAATGCAATCAATGGAGCTAGAACAGGAAGGAACTAGACTACATCCATCTGTTTATCATTAAGGAAAGCACTGAATAGTTAAGTAATTAAAGACTGGAAGATGTCACTTTAACCCTTCCAAATACATACTGTACCAACAAGCTTCAGATTTTGATTTGTAAAAAAAATCCCATGCTTCCATATTCAGCATTTTGGTGTTTGCAGCAAGCTCCTGGTGTGGCTCCTTTGCTGGCCTGGGAAACTGCCGAGGTTTTGGGGAGTTGTTTTCTCTGAAGCCTGAGGAATACTGCACCCCAGAGAAGGAAAAGATGGAGCAAGGCCTGTTTCATGGTGAAACGAGAAGTAGAAGGCAAGAGGGTTTCCAGGCTGAGAGGAATCAAACTGAGGTGCCTCCCCTGCTCTCTGGGCATGGGCTGCTCCAGGCACCCCAGTGGTGACACACACACAGCAGATCACAGCTACAACCTTTTGACCCCTGCAGGACAGTTGCTCCCAGCATGTTTTGCTGAGTTTGGATGGATGGGGTCAGTGACTGTCACCTGTCACCCCCAGCACGATGCTGGCATATGTCTGGGGCGCAGAGCACCCCTGAAACCCAGCCAAAGTGCAGGGAGGAAGGGTGGACAGAGATATGGAGGTGGAGGGAGAGGAAAGGATGTGAAGTTAATGAGCTGGAGTAGAGGGAGGCAGCCAGGAGGGCAGGAAAGCAGAGTGCACTGCAGTGGAAGGAGTGGTTGCTGCCCTGCATGAGGGCTCCCAGAGGTTCCTGGCCTCTGCAGGGCTCAGTAACCTGTCCAGGGTGATAGAGCCTGTCCTTGGCCCCTGGGCTCACCTCTCATTGCCCTTGGGCACACAGGCAGGGAGGAGGGATGGGCATGGATGGAGTACGGCAAAGGATGCAAAGCTGGTGCCTGCAATGATGAGCGGGCAATGTTCCTCCAAAGGTGTGACATTTTGTGCTGAGGGAGGGTACAAAATGGATGTGAAAGCAGATTTTCCATCCTGGAATACCTCCCTGCCCTGCCCTGCTGACAGCACACTTCTCACTTGCTCTGGTCCAGCATGATGGTGGTCCCTCCAGGAGACACTGCCCTTTTCCCAGCTCCCTATAGAATAGCCAGGAGAGTGCAGACAGGAAGTGCCCAGCACAGTGAGAGAACCTCCAACCCCAACCCCCCTACCATGCCATATATGTGGGGAAGGTAACCTTCGGGGACAGCAGCTCCCCTCTGCTACATTCATACAAGGCTGCTGGACCCAGCACCACCAGACTGAGAGATACACCACTGCCTTCCTCCTCAGTGTCAGGTGGCTTTAATTCAGGCTTATTTAAACCATACAGCCGGGGTTCGAAAGGTCTCAGCCAGGCTTTCCTTCTTTTCTGTAGCTCTTCTCAACCAGCCCAGTATAGCTCTGATGTGCATTGACCCCACCACAGGCTGTGGGCTGAGAGCTGCAGTTTCCTACAGGGGAAATTCAACCCCCAGAAATCACCTGTGGCCCATTACTCTGACTCCAAACCACCAGCTCTGAGTTCTGGTGCTGCTTCACTGCTGTGGAAGGCAGCTGAAGTTTGATGCATCAGAAGTAAACCTGGTGCAAAGCACCCAGCCCTGGCAAGCCGTGGGCTCCTTTGGGCAAAAAAGGGAAGCACTCCACAAGCATGGAGCCAGTGCTGCTGACCAGAAACCCATACTGGCCACCCTCCTTTCATCCCTCCAGCAGGAATGAGTTACAAATGTTATGGGGACAGATGCAGCAGGATGCAAACCCTGTCTGCAACAAACCGAGGAGGATTATCTTATACTACGCCAGGAGTGCCAAAAGCACTGTGACTGCAAACACACAAGTACTGCTCAGCTGCTGGCAGCCTTCAGTGGGAGAGGAGCAGCATCTGATGGGCCCTGCTGCCCTGGTGGGGGAGGACTGTCCTGGGACCAGTCCTTAGGAGGACTGGTGAGTGAGATGCCAGCAAGCACCCAGAGAGCCCTGCCCCTCTCTTGAGGGGCCAGGACTGCCTAAGCAGGCTGAGGCAGTGCAGGAAGGCAAAGGGTGCCCCAGCAGAGCCTTTCAACTCCCTGCATGGGAGGCAGAGGAAATGGCTGTATGATTAACTCTGAGCACTACCTGGATCCCCAGCTCCTCTGCTGAGGCCTTTTGCCTTGTACCTCCCTGGGCTGGAGACCTTAGCATGGCTTGCTGCTGACCTTGGTTCTGCACAGTGTCACCCAGCCCCAGAAAGGTTTAGGGGTGGGATGAGCTGTGGCGACATGGCGTGGATATCAGGATCTTCTGCTGCCTTACCAGGGCCTCCTTGAGCTGGAAAAGTCTTTCCTGCATTGCTGAGCAGGGAAAATGCAGCACTTGATCAAAGGAAGCAAAACGAAACCGGGAGACTTACAGAGAGCCCTTGTTCCAGCGAGTCTGTATTCACGATAATGGGAGCGGGGTTGGCCTGTGAGGAGACAAAAGTGGGATGTCACCAAGCTGAGCAATGAACCCAGCCCTGTGAGGTGCATTGCCTCTGCCCTGGCCATGCCATCACAGACTCTCCAGGCCAGGCAGCAGAGAGATTCAGGAAGGGCTCTGTTTGTTCCTCCTGTCCAACAGCCCTGGGACAGGAGCATGGCTCTGGGCATGAGTCCCGTCCTCAGACCTACTGTGTCCTAAACACCCCATGGCCTTGGCTGCTGGAAGGAGATAGGAAAGATGGGAAATTCTCTCAGTCTTGCGTCAGACTCCCACCAGCATCAAAATTTACGTGAAATTTACTAGTGAGGGTTAGGAGATATGAGGAGCAGGGAAAGAAACCTTTCTGAGGGAGGAATTTACTGACATCACACCAGTACCTTTCAACAGCTGCTGTTCCTTCAAAGCACAGGGCCACCATGCTCTGGGAGAGGTGACAGCATTTGGTCTCTTATCCTCATTACTCCTGGGGTAAACCCTCTGCTCGGCAGCCTCAGCTCATCCACAGCAGCACATGCATCTTCCTGTCCTGGAGCACTCCCCGTGAACTCTCCCGGGTCCCTCCTCCTGGGCTGCCCTCTGCCCCTCGGCTCGCTGCACATCGCAGGGCAGACACGTGTGGAGACAGCCCGGGCACAGAGAAGGGAGACAGGGACGGAGGAAGGGAGGGAGGTCTCCCGAGAGAAGAGGATGGCCGAAGATGTAGCGCCGGAGGGGCGGGTGAAGCCAGAGGAGGGTCGGGACAGGATGGGATGGGACAGGACGGGACGGGACGGGATGGGATGGGACGGGTCGGATCGGGTCGGGACGGGACATGGCGGGAAGGGACGGGATGGGACGGTCGGAGCGGCCAGGGGAACCGGGGTGGGACGGCCAGAGGGGGACCAAGGGCGGCCGAAGGGACGGGATGGGACGGGAGGAAAGAGGAGGATGGAGGAGGAGGAGGAGGAGGCCCGTGGGTCGGGGGCGCGGAGGCGGTGGAGGAGCAGCCGAGCCCCGCTCGCCGCGCGCGGGTCCCGCCCCCGGAGCTGTCCAGCGCCGCCCGCTGCTGAAGGAGAGGCGCTCGGCGGAGGCGGCGTGAGGGAGGGGCGGCCAAAAGCCAGAGGCAAAATCTCAAGGCTGACATTCCTCGCCGGCACACAACGGAGTAGTGCAAAGCCTGGAAGGTCAGCGGTGAGTTGGAACTCGCTTCATCATCCCAAGGCTCGTGAGGAGAGCAGCAGCCAGAGTGAGACACGCGAAGAGATGAGAACTACCGGGGGGAGGTGAAAGGAACCGTCTGCCTTAGGGCATCACGAACACCAGAGTCAGCAACCAGCGAGTCTAGGTGTGGACTAGTGAAGCAATTGCCAGGGACCACTGCCTATCCATTAACAGGGGTGTTGGACCACTGAGGATGTGACATTCTCACAGGAGCCAGTTGTCTCCTTACTGCCCTTGTCTGGGTTTACTCGTCCCTGAGACCAGCCAGCATGGCAGTCCCCACCATGTCCTGTTTCAGTTGACCCTATTTCTAGACTATTCACTCTCCTCAATTAGTGGATGAGAGAGTTAAGGGCCAACCAGACTGTGGTTTAAATCCTGCCCTGGAAGGTTCGGCTCTCTTATGGATGGAGCTGGAGGTAGTTAATTGGATTTATTCAGATGCTTTCTGATCTTTCCTGCAGCTGTAACTATTGGTTACAAAACCATAGTTTTTATGGCAATTAATTCTCTAACTCAGGCAAATATGACCACTTCCAAGCACTCCTGCCAAACCCCTCCCCCACAAAAAAGAGAATCACAATTTTCAGGTCCAGTGTCTTGGGATCTCCAAGGCCCAGAAGCAATGTTAAACAGGGAATATCCCCTCTCTGGCAGTACACAGTCCTTGTATTTAATCCAGATAATTTGAGAGATAGAATATATTAAACCTGGCAGTGGCTTTTATTAGTCCCCAGTGCAATTCTAGGAAGGGATTCCACATTTCAAGGCAAAAAAGAAGCACTTCTACTGCCAGCAATTAACAACCAGTAACACATCAAGGTTTCAACATCCAGAGGCCAGCTCTTATTAGACGAGTTTCCAGGAAGGATGCAGAAGAGGCAGCCTAAGTGAATGTAGCCCATCACGTTCCCCATGATTTATAAAAAGAATTCAACTCCACAAATGCTGCTTTGGATCCCTCCCAGGGAGAAGTGCTCTATATAATAATGTTATAGAGGCTTTTGCAGGTCCAGCCAGAGTCCTGTACTGAGCCCCACTGCACTCTTTGTTGAATTAATAATAGCCCAAAAATCACACATCACATTGCTTCACTCACACAGTGGTGAGCCCTAAGGACATATTTTGTTTAGCCTGCTCCCTGTGCACTGAGCATCCTCTGCAGCCATTCCACACTAGTGATTTTTTACATCTCAAAATACTGCTAGGAGCCCAATTTCACACTCAGGCTTCAGATGGGACCCAGGAGATACCTAATGTGAGTCGCTGCTCTAAAAAGAAGTCACACATGGTCAGGAGGAACTCAGACCAGGAAATCCCCACTTGCCTTCTGTGGCCAGCTATTCCAACTACTGCAAGAAAGGTGTTTGGGCATTAGTTCTGACTTCCACTTGCAAATATTTCAATATTTGCACTTTGCCTGTCCTACTGAAGAGACAGACAAAACCTAAGACTCAGATATAAGCAGAGGACCTGAAAATAAAAAGCTTTTGCCTTCCTCCACCAGTCAGGCAAAGGTACCAAGCAGCTCTGCTAGCCAGGGGAGGAAAGAGAAAGTCATAAATTTTTGCTGGGCAGCAGGAACGTGCTGGTGAATTAACCATGCCCTCAATTCTATAGGGAACAGTAAGTAATTTATGCCCTAAGGAGCAGGAGTTTGCTGCATGCAGGGAGGAGAGGGAACAGGGCTTTGCATTCAGATCACATTCAATGAGGGCTGTCAGATCTCTTCCATCTAAACCCCTTCATCACAATATAATTTACCGAGCCCTGTTTGTGCTTGAGGGTGTTTACAAATGGAAAGAGGTCCAAGTCCCTACAGTGCGCACTCCATGGCAGCAGTATCACCAAAGTCCAGTGGAGCTGGAGGTGCTCTGAACTCTCTCCATCAGGCAGAGGCACTTGGTCTCAGGGGATGGAGGCTGCAGGGACTCAAGGGAGTGAGGAGGGCACTACACAGATGCAGAGAGATTGATCTGGGCACAAAGCCAGAGAGGCAGAGGACAGCTGTTGAGAAAATCTGGGCAGCAACAGGAGTCAGAGGGAACCATGGTGAAGGTGGATGAAGTTTGAAGGTCAGGATTCAAGAGCTCTCTGGTCTCATGGGGGCTGAGAGAAGCAGAGCCTTGCATTCACTGAGCTCTGCACAACAGTCCTAGCGACAGCCACAGCCCAGGTGCTGATGGAGGGAGCAGCAATGTGCTCCAGGCAGCACCCAGAGAGAGACCGGCTCCCTGTGGAGACCTTGGGAGAGCATCATGCCTGTTTGGGACAGCTGCCTCTGTGGTTCAAGCCAGGAGGAGGCTGTGGGTCTGTATGCGGGGCAGAAGGGATGTCTCCTCCTCTACAGGCTGGAGCAACACCACTGCAGCACTTGCAGGGGGCAGCCAGGCAGGCCAGCAGTGCTAGGAAAAAATCTCAGGCACAGGATGTAGCCTTTCTGAAACACCCTTAGATATCTCCTCTGGGTAGTGATCTGAGAGGCACTGCTGCTATTTGGGCTCCACTTGGGCCATGGCAGCCCAATGACACTAACAGTCACCTGGGATTAGCAAAGCTCCAAACATCGACAGGTATCACCCTCACCTCAGTTTCTACTGCTGTTGTCCGATGGCACAAAGGTAGGAACTACAAAACGTGATTATTTTCCAAAATTTCCAAGCAAAAGAAAAGTTGCAATTACATGCAAATGGAGGAGATTCACTAGCCTGCTGCTGAGGATTGAGTCCTGCCCTGTGGCATTTCCCCAAGGAATGCTCTCAGGGTTGGCACACAGGAATTGGGCAGGGATACTCTGAACTGAAAGTTCAAGATGATGTCTCCAGAACTGAGATCCCAAAGCTTTGCCATAGTTTCACATCCTCCACAGAATTGGCATGGGGGCCAGCCCACAGAGGTGAAGAGATACATACCTCCTGGAGGCAAAATACACATGATACAGATGTCCCAGGAGAAGGGCAACTGGATTGTGATCACATATAAGCACATTTCCATCTTAACCAGCAACAAGAATAACAGCAGCCTCCAGAGATGGCAAATATCAGGCCTAACATACAGAGCTGCTCTCTGCAGGAGGGTGGTGTGTCCTATGTGTCATGCAAGAAGGAATGTGCAAGACAGAGTGACTACTTGAGACACTGGGCTAATGCATGAGAAGCAAAGTACTAATTTAACTCCTTTATTTCCCCAGACTGGATCAGAGTGAAAATTCAATTTGTCTTTTAATATCCTTTGTTTCACATCATCTGAGGTATAATAGTAGCACTCAGAAGGAAATGGCTCTGGAGATAAGAGAAATTCAGTCTTTGCATCTCTTTAAAAGCTCTCAGGGGCAGAGGTCACAAGTGGGGAAATGCCCAACAGAATTATCTAATCAGGGCCGACACTGAGCTGCTTGTAGTCCAGGTCCATCTGCTTTGATTTTTTTTTAAAGGGTGTTAAACCATGGAGAAAGCTGTGCATTACAGCTATGAGAGCAGCTGCTCTGTCGCAGGACCCCACCGTGTCGAATTCTGGCTGTGAGCCAGGTACTGGCTCAGGGATGCCGAGGGTGCTGCAATGCTGCTGTGGCAGCAGGGTCAGCTGCAGGATGCCCAGACACCAACAGGCTCCTGCTGCTGTGGGGAGCAGGTTTGCACCAAGCTGATGAATTAACTTCACAGGAACAAGCTCAGATCCTGCCTGCACAGCACACATGGAGAGCCCGTGCTCACCACCACTCACCCTGATGAGCACTGACACGCTCATCTGCTTTGTGCCAGGCTTGCCCGCCCTGCACCCAGA